GAGGCTCTCAATAGAGATGCCCAACATGCTACTATCGCCAAGTTCATTCAAAATGAACTTGACGCAGAACGCGAGAAAGTAGCCTTGCTTCACCAACAAGGTTCTCAACAAGCAGAGTTGCTGAGAGAACAGGATGCTCAACAGTTTGAACTGTTGAGACAGCAGCAGGCTGCTGCTGGTGGGTCAATGCACTCGCGTCGACCCGAGACCTTGAAGATTGACATCTCCAAGTATAGGGGAGTTGAAGAGGACTCCCTCCTGAGATGGTTTGTCGAATTAGACGACGCCATAAGGGCGCGTCGCATCGACGACGGGGAAATGCAAGTTGCATTTGCCCAGTCAAATCTGGCAGGACGTGCCAAGACTTGGGCACTGGGGCTCAAGTTGCACGACCCGTATGCGTTTGGGTTGTTAGAAGTCTTCAAGTCGCGGCTCATACAAACGTTCGAACCGCCTAGAGCTGAGTTCAGAGCTCGAACTGAACTCTTGAAGCTCAAGCAGGGTAAGCGCGATGTGCACGCTTACGCGCAACATGTACGACATCTCACGAGTTGTATAAGTTTCAACCCGGTTGATGAACACACGTTGGTTTCGGTGTTCATGCAGGGTCTTGCGGATGGTCCCGTCAAGACTCACCTGTTCCGACTTAAACTAGATTCACTAGAACAAGCCATTTCCATTGCGGAACAGGAAGACTTCAGTCTGAGACAGGCTCGCGCCAGCTCGACATAATATCTTCCACCGAGACGATATGAAAGCGGAAGTCCAGAGCCGATGGAACTCTGTTATGTAGAGAGCGAGAAGGCTCGCTCTACAGACTACAAGAAGTTGCAGAAATGCAACGGATGTCAAAAGACAGGACACTACGCTTACGAGTGTAGTGCCCCTCGTCCAGTGTCTCGCGACACTGGGCGTAGTGACCGTCCACCCATGAGAAAGGGGCAGGGACGGGGGTCCGCTGTTGATGCAAAGACGCAACAACGGGATGGACCGTCAAAAAACGGACAGGATCAGTAGGTGCGGAGCACCCTACTGGTCCAGCAACGTCAAGAGAATTTGTAGGGCTCTTGATGAAGGTTGCTCCCAACACACAAACATTGTGCGTTGCTGCTCTAGGTAATGAGATCTCACTCATTACCTTGAAACTAGAAGTGACAAATAAGCTGTCTCTTCGAGCTCTAGTTGATTGTGGGGCGTCCAACAATTTTGTGCGACGCCAATCGCTAGAAGATGATCACTTCAAGTTTGTTGAATGTGACACACCTATTACGAGGATGACGGTACGTCTTGCGACAGGCGCATCCGTAACCTTCATGAAGCGTGTAGTGAAGATTCACTGTACGCTAGAAGATACCCAATATGATGATGACTTTGTCGTATTGGATTTGGATGACAAATTTGATGTCATCCTTGGAATACCGTGGCTCAGAAGGTGTGAACCACGAGTAAACTGGCAACATCGATCCGCGAAGATGCCTGCCGCTTGTTCATCAGATGGCCATCTGATGAACGTTTTGGAGCGTCCACAAGGGTGTGGATGTACTACGAGTGAGTGCGATGGCCTCACTTGTGGTATGGTCGTTAGTATGACTGCACAAAACCTTAGTGTAACAAACGGTTACACTTCGGAGCAAAGTTCAGGCGGCTGTGAGGAAACACAGGCTGCGCCGAAGTTCCACCACTCGAATAAGTCGAGTGGACTGGGACAAAGATGTATCCCTAGCGGGGAACATCTAGAAGAGAAACAATCGATCGCTCAGGTTAAGCGAAACGATAATCCTAGATCGACTGGAGAGTCTTTCGTAGAGGATATCGCTGTGGTTGCGCAACCCCAGCTAGAGGAAGTAAAGGGAATAAGTCCCAAGATTACAGATACGGCGGAAATAAGTTCCCCGAAACCCGAGGGAATAAGTCCCCGGGAAGCCGAAGGAATAAGTCCTTCGAAGCCTGAGGGAATAAGTCCCCAGGAAATGACAGAGACACTGAATGTCATAGTCAATAACGGATCAAGCGTAGGCGCTTATACACTTGATCTGATTGCGCCTCCGAAGTTGACTTCGGAGATCACTCAGTTGCCAACGCTCGAACATAAAAGGTTCTTGCGTGATCTGCTTAGTGGCAAAGTCAAGCAGATCTGCGTACTCGTCGCTGACGACGAGTGTGTAACCGACATAAGGTCAGCAACAGTGTCTACTGAGAACGAGAGAGTTCTCAGTAGTTCATCTATGGACGAGAGTGTCCTAGACGAAAAGACACGAATTGAGCGATATGACTCCCAATCGTGGGAATCGCTCAAGACAAATTCTCTCTACGAAGATTTGGTTGAATTCAAGGACGTATTCCCTGAAACGGTTCCGTGCGAGTTACCTAAGGATAAAGGTATTCGACACGAGTTCGAGCTTAAACCAGGCTCGAAGTACTGTGTCATGAAGCAGTGGCCACTGCCTCGTGAACAAGTACTTGTGATCGACAAGATCTTTGCCGATTGCTTAGCTGCAGGCCATGTGAGGGAATCAACTTCCCCACATAGCTCTCCGACCTTCTGTGTGCAAAAAGCAACAGGAGGGTGGCGGATAGTGCATGCATTTAGCAAGTTGAATGCTGCAACGGTACCGGCTTAGACGCCGAAACCAAGGAAGGACGTAATCATTGATGGCATGTCAAAGAGTACCATCTTTTCGTCCATGGATTTGATGGATGGCTTCTATTAAATCCTTATGCGAGAACGGGATATACCCTAGACCGCAGTTAGCACGCCTAGCGGCATGCTCTGGGAATGGCTAGTAATGCCACAAGGGCTTAGTAATGCCCCTGCCACGTTCAACAGATGTGTATCACATCTGTTGAGACCAGTACGAGAATTCGCGCCGAGTTATTTCGATGACGTATTCATCCATAGTCGAGCTATGGATGGAAAGTCGGACGTTGAGGTTCACAGGTACCACATCCGACAGGTTCTTACAATCATGCGAAAGCATCAATTGTATGCCAACCTCAAGAAGTGTATATTTGCAGCAAGCGAAGTAACACTTCTTGGGTGCATCGTTGGTAAGAACGGAGTACGTCCTGATCCCGAAAAGATCAAGGCGATCACCTACTGGCCTGCGCCGGTTGATGTCAAAGGTCTTCGAAAATTCCTTGGGCTAGCGGCGTATTTGCACAAGTATTCACGCAATTACGCCGAGATGACTGTGCACCTCTCTCGTTTGTTGAAAAAGAACGAGAGGTGGTTATGGAACGCTGAATGTCAGCGCTCCTTTGATGGTATCAAGCAGAGCTTGATACAATCTCCAGTCCTATCAATAGCTGATCAGGACAGGCCATTTCATGTGGTCTGTGATGCCAGCGATTTCGCAATCGGCTGTGCATTAATGCAGTACGATCTTGAAGGCGTTGAACGCGTCGTCTGCTATCAGTCGCGTCAGCTGCAACCAGCTGAGCGGAACTATCCAATGCATGACAAGGAACCCCTTGCCATGAAGTATGCAGTCGCGAAGTTCAGAGTCTATCTATTAGGAGATAGACCCTTCATTGTTTACACCGACCATGCGTCATTACGTACGGCAGTGAACAGCCCGCACCTTTCACAACGAATGGCGCGGTGGTTGTCATTCTTTGCAGAATACAACTTTACGGTAGAGTACAAACCATGACGACTTAATGTCGTCGCTGATGCACTCTCACGTCGTCCAGACTTTGAACCAGTCGTGAAACCCAACAGTGAGACAGTCACTGTTGCGGTTATGACGTCCTCAGTCCCATCTACAACGTTGTATGATGATGTGAGGCGGGCGTATGCCCAAGATGCTGAGATTGTGAAGTTGTTGACACATCGCTCACAGCCATCTCGAGAATCGTTCAAACGATTATCGTCTGCGCATCGATCTGCATCAGATCGACACACTACTCAGAACGGTTTACTGTAATTTACAGCCGTTACTGGTGACACACCACGTGTTGTCATTCCAGATGATACTGATCTGCGTTTGCGGATCATGTTCGAGTATCACGATGCTCCTATAGGAGGACATCGTGGCCGGGAGAAAACAAATCTCACGGTGAGTCGAGGCTTTTACTGGCCCCGCCAGTATCAGTTTGTGCGAAAGTATGTTCGCGCATGCGAAGTCTGTCAACGAGTGAAGTCAAGTCCTTCACTGCGTGCACCTTTACAGCCTCTACCCGTTCCGGCAGAATGCTGGGAATCCGTCTCAATGGATTTTGTCTTCGGGTTACCCAAAGACGCACGCGGGAATACGGGTATTCTCGTATTTGTTGACAGATTCAGCAAAATGGTACACCTTGTGGCTGTACCAGAGTCAATCACGGCAAGTGGCTGTGCTTGTATCTTTATCGACACCATCTTCCGACTTCATGGGTTGCCCCGTGAACTCGTATCAGACAGAGATCCACGATTCACTGCTGATTTCTGGCGTTCCGTGTTCAAATCACTCGGAACGCGCTTGAAGATGTCTACATCTGATCATCCAGAGACAGATGGTCAGACGGAACGTGCCAATCGTGTCCTTGAAGAGATAATTCGAGGATACGTACACTCCTTCAAGAGTTGGAGTGAGTTTTTGCCAATGGTAGAGTTTGCCATTAACAACTCGGTGCATGCGTCCACGACACATACACCGTTTTACGTGAATGGCTTGCGCCATCCGCGTGTACCCACCCTACTAGAGTGTAACTCTGGTGTAAGGGGGGAGGGACTTGCGCGAGCAAAAACCGATTTGGTTCACGCTCATCACGCTCTGACGAAGAGGTCATTGCGTTTGATGCCGATATCGATAACATCGATATCGAAGAAGATGATGCCAGTGAGAGTGCGGAAGCCCTCACTGAAGAAAAGGTTGATGTCACGGCAGTGCGCTCACAGCGCACTGAAGCTAACGAGTCATCAGGTGAATTCATACTGGCTCGTGAAACGGTAGTCCGCTTTGTGCAAGACTCCATCGCCGAAGCGGTGGATAAGCAAAAGCAAAACGCTGACAAGAATGGAAGGGCAAACACTCTTTTATTTAATAAAGGTGACTTAGTCCTACTGTCTACGGTTAATCTACCAAAGCATGTAGTGACTAACTTGGGTAGTAGTAAACTTCTACCCAAGTACATCGGCCCATTTCGTGTATTGCACCGCCTAGGCAGTGCATACACGATCGAGTTGCCACGTAAGATGCGAACGCATCCCACGTTTTACGTTGGTCGGCTTAAGCCGTACCATCAGTACGCTGCTTCTTCCGATGAAGAACGCCCTTGCGCTCAAGCATCTCGCAGAGAGCCTTGTGCTCCCGATGGTGGGCATCGACAAGGGTCTGAAGAGCAGTTACCTCATCCGAGACCGATCAACAATCCCACGAGCTACCCTTAGCTCGTTACGCAGAGATGTCAGAGATCTCTCGTTCTCAAGCTGAGCAAAGGCAAGCTCAGCTCGATGCTTCAAGACAGTGTCCGCCATTTGGAGACGCCTGTCCCGCTCATGTTCGAGATCGTTGCGAAACCCTTGTGTTACGCGATCAAAGAAGCTCTCGGGAACACACGGATCCCCACGATCGCGTGGAGAGCGTCTTTCCTCCTCCTCCACCTCCATTAGAGGACTCTCGCGGTGGCCAGCGCTATCTGGTTGAGCAGCTGTTGAACCACCGCGACGTGAACGGACGTCGGACGAGTTATCTCGTCCGGTGGCGCGGCTATCCCCCGTCCTGGGATACTTGGGAGCCCCACTCCCAACTGATGGTTGACGTACTGGGTCTGGTTGAGTAGTATGACGCGGCACATCCTATGCCGCAGAAGGACCGCTGGAGAAAGTCTTCCCGGCACGGTCATAAAGGGATTTCAGGTTGTCAATCCCTTCGTACATCTCACTAGAGATACGTACGCGCCACCACGGGCTATTAGGGAGGTAAGCCTCCTTAGGTGCTCGTGCAGAGCTGTTCACACAACAAGGGCACTGGTCTCCCCAAGAGAGGCAGGGTAACCCTTTATCCCTATACAGACGATGCAGCTTGTAGCGTGCACCTGTCGGGGTTCTCTTCTCAAACTTATCACGAGCTTTGATAAGTTTGTCGTTCCAAGCGTCACGACCTACATCCTCAAGTTTATGGATGTAGGCGTTCCACGCTTGAAGCAGTGAGGGACCATCACGTTTTTGATTCCCACTGTACCATCGATGTCTAAACAAAGCATCGATGAAGAATTCATTCTCAGCGCGATAGTTTTTCGCGCTGGGGTCAAGGTGATGGATCCTTGACGAATCGAACAACCGTGTTCGATAACGATCACTCGTCGTCGCCGACAAGTGATCCATGACGGATTTGGGAGGCATCCATGCCTTCTTCTCGGGAGCGAGACGCAACACACTGCGGTACCGCTCTTCTTGCGACGTGCCGACAGCAGGACTGGCACCTCTTTGCGAAGTGGTGTCAATAGGAGAACCGACACCACTGTTAACGCCCGAGTCTCGCGACCTCGAGCGCCTTCGCTTCGGCGATGATTCATCTGATTCATCAGATGAACCAAAGATGCTGCGGCGCATAGCATCATCCATGCCACGCTTGGCAGGCGGCTTGGTTTCGATCGCCGCTGATACATATTCCTCTTCCGCATCGGGAGATTATGAGACACCGAGCTCATACTCTGTGAAGACATGAGTTTCTTCATGACGAGCGCCTGCATCACCAGGTGACACAGGCTGAGTCGTTTCAGCAACCGATGAGACATCAGTTGCTGTGGTTTCTGCTTCGGCGTCCGCACAGAGACGTGCGGACGCGCTCTAGGCGGCCTTGCTCGCGCATCGCATGGGCTTGTTAACCATGCGATGAATTGTTGGAAAGTGGACTCGGACCAACAAGTGCAAACCCTGTCCCAAATAGATTTGAGACGAGTATCCATTTGGTGAATCAGTCACTAAAGTGACTGATGGTTAAGGGGGGGGGTGCAACGGGGTGAATCGTTACATAACAATTTATAAGAAATTGCTACTGGAATACAACTATAAGAGTTATATTCTCAGAATACTGTCATAAGGACAAATATTCTGTAGCACTTACGAGTAGTTCCTAATTGGTTGATATAGGCCATTACATCAACCAACGAAGACGCGCCACGACAGACGCACGCAATGAGTGGTGAGCAGATAGTTGATATGCACATCTGTATTCAGACATAGTTAGATGAGGATAAACAGGGGGTTTATTAACAGACATTAACTATCATAAATACAGTTCTACCTTTTACTTTAACCAAGTACTCGCTTCTTTTTACCGTCTTCCTCTGCACGTACGAGTGTACGTGAAGTGACGCGGCACCGCCTTATTCTGTCATCAGAATAAGTAGCTTGTACTGTCATGAGTACAAGCTTCAGGGTGCCTTGTTACATCAACCTTAGTTTGATTAATTATCGACCTATGAGGAGGGGACAGTCCACATTGCACTTATTACGACGTTGATGGACACCTTGCATTATACACGCGGACAGAGAGACGGACAAACAGAAAGTGGCTCTGAAAAGTTCGGCGCATACTGTAACGGGGCACCCTGAAGCTTGTACTGGTGACAGTACAAGCTACTTATTCTGATGACAGAATAAGGCGGTGCCGCGTAACTTCACGTACACTCGTACGTGCAGAGGAAGACGGTAAGAAGAAGCGAGTACTTGGTTAAAGTAAAAAGTAGAACTGTATTTATGATAGTTAATGTCTGCAATAAACCACTGTTTATCCTCATCCAACTATGCCTTAATACAAATGTGTAAATCAACTATCTGCTCACCACTCATTGCGTGCGTCTGTCGTGGCGCGTCTTCGCTGATTGATATAATGGCCTATATCAACCAATTAGGAACTACTCGTAAGTGCTACAGAATATTTGTCATTATGACAATTTTCTGAGAATATAACTCTTATAGTAATATTCTATTGACAATTTCTTATAAATTGTTATGTAACGATTCACCCCGTTACATCACCCCCCCCCTTAACCATCAGTCACTTTAGTGACTGATTCACCAAATGGATACTCGTCCCAAATCATTTGGGACAGGGTTTGCACTTGTTGGTCCGAGTCCACTTCCCAACAGTTCATCGCATGGTTAACAAGCCCATGCGATGCGCGAGCAAGGCCGCCTAGAGCGCGTCCGCACGTCTCTGTGCGGACGCCGAAGCAGAAACCACAGCAACTGATGTCTCATCGGTTGCTGAAACGACTCAGCCTGTGTCACCTGGTGATGCAGGCGCTCGTCATGAAGAAACTCATGTCTTCACAGAGTATGAGCTCGGTGTCTCATAATCTCCCGATGCTGAAGAGGAATATGTATCAGCGGCGATTGAATCCAAGCCGCCTGCCAAGCGTGGCATGGATGATGCTATGCGCCGCAGCATCTTTGGTTCATCTGATGAATCAGATGGACCATCGCCGAAGCGAAGGCGCTCGAGGTCGCGAGACTCGGGCGCTAACAGTGGTGTCGGTTCTCCTATTGACACCACTTCGCAAAGAGGTGCCAGTCCTTCTGTCGGCACGTCGCAAGAAGAGCGGGACCGCAGTGTGTTGCGTCTCGCTCCCGAGAAGAAGGCATGGATGCCTCCCAAATCCGTCATGGATCACTTGTCGGCGACGACGAGTGATCGTTATCGAACACGGTTGTTCGATTCGTCAAGGATCCATCACCTTGACCCCAGCGCGAAAAACTATCGCGCTGAGAATGAATTCTTCATCGATGCTTTCTTTAGACATCGATGGTACAGTGGGAATCACAAGCGTGATGGTCCCTCACTGCTTCAGGCGTGGAACGCCTACATCCATAAACTTGAGGATGTAGGTCGTGACGCTTGGAACGACAAACTTATCAAAGCTCGTGATAAGTTTGAGAAGAGAACCCCGACAGGTGGACGCTACAAGCTGCATCGTCTGTATAGGGATAAAGGGTTACCCTGCCTCTCTTGGGGAGACCAGTGCCCTTGTTGTGTGAACAGCTCTGCACGAGCACCTAAGGAGGCTTACCTCCCTAATAGCCCGTGGTGGCGCGTACGTATCTCTAGTGAGATGTACGAAGGGATTGACAACCTGAAATCCCTTTATGACCGTGCCGGGAAGACTTTCTCCAGCGGTCCTTCTGCGGCATAGGATGTGCCGCGTCATACTACTCAACCAGACCCAGTACGTCAACCATCAGTTGGGAGTGGGGCTCCCAAGTATCCCAGGACGGGGGATAGCCGCGCCACCGGACGAGATAACTCGTCCGACGTCCGTTCACGTCGCGGTGGTTCAACAGCTGCTCAACCAGATAGCGCTGGCCACCGCGAGAGTCCTCTAATGGAGGTGGAGGAGGAGGAAAGACGCTCTCCACGCGATCGTGGGGATCCGTGTGTTCCCGAGAGCTTCTTTGATCGCGTAACACAAGGGTTTCGCAACGATCTCGAACATGAGCGGGACAGGCGTCTCCAAATGGCGGACACTGTCTTGAAGCATCGAGCTGAGCTTGACTTTGCTCAGCTTGAGAACGAGAGATCTCTGGCATCTCTTCGTGACGAGCTAAGGGTAGCTCGTGGGATTGTTGATCGGTCTCGGATGAGGTAACTGCTCTTCAGACCCTTGTCGATGCCCACCATCGGGAGCACAAGGCTCTCTGCGAGATGCTTGAGCGCAAGGGCGTTCTTCATCGGAAGAAGCAGCGTACTGATGGTACGGCTTAAGCCGACCAACGTAAAACGTGGGATGCGTTCGCATCTTACGTGGCAACTCGATCGTGTATGCACTGCCTAGGCGGTGCAATACACGAAATGGGCCGATGTACTTGGGTAGAAGTTTACTACTACCCAAGTTAGTCACTACATGCTTTGGTAGATTAACCGTAGACAGTAGGACTAAGTCACCTTTATTAAATAAAAGAGTGTTTGCCCTTCCATTCTTGTCAGCGTTTTGCTTTTGCTTATCCACCGCTTCGGCGATGGAGTCTTGCACAAAGCGGACTACCGTTTCACGAGCCAGTATGAACTCACCTGATGACTCGTTAGCTTCAGTGCGCTGTGAGCGCACTGCCGTGACATCAACCTTTTCTTCAGTGAGGGCTTCCGCACTCTCACTGGCATCATCTTCTTCGATATCGATGTTATCGATATCGGCATCAAACGCAATGACCTCTTCGTCAGAGCGTGATGAGCGTGAACCAAATCGGTTTTTGCTCGCGCGAGTCCCTCCCCCCCTTAAAGCAGAGTTACACTCTAGTAGGGTGGGTACACGCGGATGGCGCAAGCCATTCACGTAAAACGGTGTATGTGTCGTGGACGCATGCAACGAGTTGTTAATGGCAAACTCTACCATTGGCAAAAACTCACTCCAACTCTTGAAGGAGTGTACGTATCCTCGAAGGATCTCTTCAAGGACACGATTGGCACGTTCCGTCTGACCATCTGTCTCTGGATGATCAGATGTCGACATCTTCAAGCGCGTTCCGAGTGATTTGAACACGGAACGCCAGAAATCAGCAGTGAATCGTGGATCTCTGTCTGATACGAGTTCACGGGGTAACCCATGAAGTCGGAAGATGGTGTCGATAAAGATACAAGCACAGCCACTTGCCGTGATTGTCTCTGGTACAGCCACACGGTGTACCATTTTGCTGAATCTGTCAACAAATACGAGAATACGCGTATTCCCGCGTGCGTCTTTGGGTAACCCGAAGACAAAATCCATTGAGACGGATTCCCAGCATTCTGCCGGAACGGGTAGAGGCTGTAAAGGTGCACGCAGTGAAGGACTTGACTTCACTCGTTGACAGACTTCGCATGCGCGAACATACTTTCGCACAAACTGATACTGGCGGGGCCAGTAAAAGTCTCGACTCACCGTGAGATATGTTTTCTCCCGGCCACGATGTCCTCCTATAGGAGCATCGTGATACTCGAACATGATCCGCAAACGCAGATCAGTATCATCTGGAATGACAACACGTGGTGTGTCACCAGAAACGGCTGTATAATACAGTAAACCGTTACGAGTAGTGTATTGATCTGATGCAGATCGATACGCAGGCGACAATCGTTTGAACGATTCTCGAGATGGCTGTGAGCGATGTGTCAACAACTTCACAATCTCAGCATCTTGGGCATACGCCCGCCTCACATCATCATACAACGTTGTAGATGGGACTGAGGACGTCATAACCGCAACAGTGACTGTCTCACTGTTGGGTTTCACGACTGGTTCAAAGTCTGGACGACGTGAGAGTGCATCAGCGACGACATTAAGTCGTCCTGGTTTGTACTCGACCGTAAAGTTGTATTCCGCAAAGAATGACAACCACCGCGCCATTCGTTGTGAAAGGTGCGGGCTGTTCACTGCCGTGCGTAATGACGCATGGTCAGTGTAAACAATGAAGGGTCTATCTCCTAATAGATAGACTCTGAACTTCGCGAGTGCATACTTCATGGCAAGGGGTTCCTTGTCATGCATTGGATAGTTCCGCTCAGCTGGTTGCAGCTGACGCGACTGATAGCAGACGACACGTTCAACGCCTTCAAGATCGTACTGCATTAATGCACAGCCGATTGCGAAATCGCTGGCATCACAGACCACATGAAATGGCCTGTCCTGATCAGCTATTGATAGGACTGGAGATTGTATCAAGCTCTGCTTGATACCATCAAAGGAGCGCTGACATTCAGCGTTCCATACCACCTCTCGTTCTTTTTCAACAAACGAGAGAGGTGCACAGTCATCTCGGCGTAATTGCGTGAATACTTGTGCAAATACGCCGCTAGCCCAAGGAATTTTCGAAGACTTTTGACATCAACCGGCGCAGGCCAGTAGGTGATCGCCTTGATCTTTTCGGGATCAGGACGTACTCCGTTCTTACCAACGATGCACCCAAGAAGTGGTATTTCGCTTGCTGCAAATATACACTTCTTGAGGTTTGCATACAATTGATGCTTTCGCATGATTGTAAGAACCTGTCGGACGTGGTACCTGTGAACCTCAACGTCCGACTTTCCACCCATAGCTCGAATATGGATGAATACGTCATCAAAATAACTCGGCGCGAATTCTCGTACTGGTCTCAACAGATGTGATACACATCTGTTGAGCGTGGCAGGGGCATTACTAAGCCCTTGTGGCATTACTAGCCATTCCCAGAGCATGCCGCTAGGCGTGCTAACTGCGGTCTAGGGTATATCCCGTTCTCGCATAAGGATTTAATAGAAGCCATCCATCAAATCCATGGACGAAAAGATGGTACTCTTTGACATACCATCAATGATTACGTCCTTCCTCGGTATCGGCGTCTGAGCCGGTACCGTTGCAGCATTCAACTTGCTAAATGCATGCACTATCCGCCACCCTCCTGTTGCTTTTTGCACACAGAAGGTCGGAGAGCTATGTGGGGAAGTTGATTCCCTCACATGGCCCGCAGCTAAACGATCGGCAAAGAACTTGTCGATCGCAAGTACTTGTTCACGGGGCAGTGGCCACTGCTTCATGACACAGTACTTCGAGCCTGGTTTAAGCTCGAACTCGTGTCGAATACCTTTATCATTAGGTAACTCGCACGGAACCGTTTCAGGGAATACATCCTTGAATTCAACCAAATCTTCGTAGAGAGAATTTGTCTTGAGCGATTCCCACGATTGGGAGTCATATCGCTCAATTCGTGTCTTTTCATCTAGGACACTCTCGTTTATAGATGAACTACTGAGAACTCTCTCGTTCTCAGTAGACACTGTTGCTGACCTTATGTCGGTTACACACTCGTCGTCAGCGACGAGTACGCAGATCTGCTTGACTTTGCCACTAAGCAGATCACGCAAGAACCTTTTATGTTCGAGCGTTGGCAACTGAGTGATCTCCGAAGTCAACTTCGGAGGCGCAATCAGATCAAGTGTATAAGCGCCTACGCTTGATCCGTTATTGACTATGACATTCAGTGTCTCTGTCATTTCCTGGGGACTTATTCCCTCAGGCTTCGAAGGACTTATTCCTTCGGCTTCCCGGGGACTTATTCCCTCGGGTTTCGGGGAACTTATTTCCGCCGTATCTGTAATATTGGGACTTATTCACTTAACTTCCTCTAGCTGGGGTTGCGCAACCACAGCGATATCCTCTACGAAAGACTCTCCAGTCGATCTAGGATTATCGTTTCGCTTAACCTGAGCGATCGATTGTTTCTCTTCTAGATGTTCCCCGCTAGGGATACATCTTTGTCCCAGTCCACCCGACTTATTCGAGTGGTGGACCTTCGGCGCAGCCTGTGTTTCCTCACAGCCGCCTGAACTTTGCTCCGAAGTGTAACCGTTTGTTACACTAAGGTTTTGTGCAGTCATACTAACGACCATACCACAAGTGAGGCCATCGCACTCACTCGTAGTACATCCACACCCTTGTGGACGCTCCAAAACGTTCATCAGATGGCCATCTGATGAACAAGCGGCAGGCATCTTCGCGGATCGATGTTGCCAGTTTACCCGTGGTTCGTACCTTCTGAGCCACGGTATTCCAAGGATGACATCAAATTTGTCATCCAAACCCAATACGATAAAGTCATCGTCATATTGGGTATCTTCTAGCGTATAGTGGATCTTCACTATACGCTTCATGACGGTTACGGATGCGCCTGTCGCAAGACGTACCGTCATCCTCGTAATAGGTGTGTCACATTCAACAAACTTGAAGTGATCATCTTCTAGCGATTGGCGTCGCACAAAATTGTTGGACGCCCCACAATCAACTAGAGCTCGAAGAGACAGCTTATTTGTCACTTCTAGTTTCAAGGTAATGAGTGAGATCTCATTACCTAGAGCAGCAACGCACAATGTTTGTGTGTTGGGAGCAACCTTCATCAAGAGCCCTACAAATTCTCTTGACGTTGCTGGACTAGTAGGGTGCTCCGCACCTACTGATCCTGTCCGTTTTTTGACGGTCCATCCCGTTGTTGCGTCTTTGCATCAACAGCGGACCCCCGTCCCTGCCCCTTTCTCATGGGTGGACGGTCACTACGCCCAGTGTCGCGAGACACTGGACGAGGGGCACTACACTCGTAAGCGTAGTGTCCTGTCTTTTGACATCCGTTGCATTTCTGCAACTTCTTGTAGTCTGTAGAGCGAGCCTTCTCGCTCTCTACATAACAGAGTTCCATCGGCTCTGGACTTCCGCTTTCATATCGTCTCGGTGGAAGATATTATGTCGAGCTGGCGCGAGCCTGTCTCAGACTGAAGTCTTCCTGTTCCGCAATGGAAATGGCTTGTTCTAGTGAATCTAGTTTAAGTCGGAACAGGTGAGTCTAGACGGGACCATCCGCAAGACCCTGCATGAACACCGAAACCAACGTGTGTTCATCAACCGGGTTGAAACTTATACAACTCGTGAGATGTCGTACATGTTGCGCGTAAGCGTGCACATCGCGCTTACCCTGCTTGAGCTTCAAGAGTTCAGTTCGAGCTCTGAACTCAGCTCTAGGCGGTTCGAACGTTTGTATGAGCCGCGACTTGAAGACTTCTAACAACCCAAACGCATACGGGTCGTGCAACTTGAGCCCCAGTGCCCAAGTCTTGGCACGTCCTGCCAGATTTGACTGGGCAAATGCAACCTGCATTTCCCCGTCGTCGATGCGACGCGCCCTTATGGCGTCGTCTAATTCGACAAACCATCTCAGGAGGGAGTCCTCTTCGACTCCCCTATACTTGGAGATGTCAATCTTCAAGGTCTCGGGTCGACGCGAGTGCATTGACCCACCAGCAGCAGCCTGCTGCTGTCTCAACAGTTCAAACTGTTGAGCACCCTGTTCTCTCAACAACTCTGCTTGTTGAGAACCTTGTTGGTGAAGCAAGGCTACTTTCTCGCGTTCTGCGTCAAGTTCATTTTGAATGAACTTGGCGATAGTAGCATGTTGGGCATCTCTATTGAGAGCCTCTAGCATGACGCTAACAGCATGGATGCCCAGGGTTGAACCCATCCGTTCAACCGCATCCCATTCGACATCGCTTAAATGGGAGTAGCCGTCACGCGTAGCGTGAAAGCTTTGGTCATCTTCATCATCCAACATATTCATGTTAGATGTGAACGTGGTCCTTGGACGGACTACAAAGTGCTACCAGGTGTAACGGGGCACCCTGAAGCTTGTACTGGTGACAGTACAAGCTACTTATTCTGATGACAGAATAAGGCGGTGCCTGTAACTTCACGTACACTCGTACGTGCAGAGGAAGACGGTAAGAAGAAGCGAGTACTTGGTTAAAGTAAAAGGTAGAACTGTATTTATGATAGTTAATGTCTGCAATAAATCACTATTTATCTTCATCTAACTATGTCTAAAGACAAATGTGTAAATCACCTATCTGCTCACCACTCATTGCGTGCGTCTGTCGTGGCGCGTCTTCGTTGGTTGATATAATGGCCTATATCAACCAATTAGGAACTACTCGTAAGTGCTACAGAATATTTGTCCTTATGACAATATTCTGAGAATATAACTCTTATAGCTATATTCTATTAACAATTTCTTAAAAATTGTTATGTAACGATTCACCCCGTTACATATACCTTGCACGCGGGATCACTAACAGCTTCAGCTTCGGCTCGCAGTCATCTGGTAGGATGAATAATATTCGTGTTCACATCTATGCCAATTTCATGTGACGGACTCAACCCGTTACATCTACTTTGCGTGACAACAGTAGCATCCAACGGGTCGTACGTGGTGAGCGCAGTTGACTTGACAAATTCCAGCTAGAAATCTCTTAGTCGAAGCAGCGCTGCTCTTGTTGACCGTAACTACCTCGATCTTCTGTACCATCAATCGCCCAGGTCTTTCAATCGCCCAAGTATCAGCCTCCAATGGCGTCGCTGCCAGGACCCGAGATCCAGCAAGCGTGTGAATTCCAATCGACAGGATCGATGCAGCGGGTTCTGCGGCTACTTTGTACTCTCTTTGACACCATCTCAGCTTCAATCGGCAAATTAGAGGAAGTGATGTAAATTCACAAGTGCACGTGAGCTCACCGCTCGCGCGCTGTTGTGTACAAAAAAGAAGTTGTAATGGCATCACGAGTACAACTGTCACCGTAGCGACATCGATACTTAGCAGGCAAGTGACGCGCGGAGGCTTTAGTCGTGGCACTTCGGGCTGAGGAGCAAATAACCACTTCTGTGCAAAGAGCTGGAAGAGATGGTAGTCAGTAGGCGGAAACAATACCTACCAGAGCTTTATTGTTTGCGATTTATGGGCCTGCATTTCAATAATCTCAGTCCACATCGGCTGTCCAGTTGATCGACGTTGCGTTGAGTATGATCTCGTTCTTTACTATAGGCGGGCGGACGGCGCTTGCTCGCTTTGTACATGGGTTTCAAATGTATTGAGGACGGTGTGTGTGTCCCGTCGTCCGCTTCACAGCGTTACAGACCAGACACTGTCAAGCAAAGGCACGGGCGTCATCGACGGCGTCGGAGGAACCCCAGACGCACTCCAATCGTCGTCCTTTATGACTCTCACTGACTGCGGTGGCCTCAAAGTCGCGCCTTCCGAGCCAAAGAGCAGTACTTCCAAGATCTTGACCTCCAGCAGGTTAAACCCGGTTGGAAATGTGACAGGATCGAAGGGCTCCATCGTACTTCGTGGACTCTTGGGACTCAGTCGTGCTCGCTTTGATAGCGAGCAGCCGCCTACTGGCGTGACAGGCAGCGTCGAAGCAGTAGCAGTAGCAGTAGCAGTAGCAACCTGTTGTTCAAGGATGCGCTTCTTGCGCCGGTGCAATCGCTGCTGGTTCGCATTCGCCTTGTGGCGGTGAAAGTCACACAGTTTATGCAGCGTGCCATCGAGTTTCGTGGCCCGCGGGGCATCGCAGAATTTGCTGCGGTAGGCGCACTGCATCTCTCGAGGGACGACCTCATCCCGGTTCATGTCAGTCTAATGGCTGTTCGGAGCTGTTCGCTCGACGCAAGAGCTTGGGAAATAACGCGATTGATGGCAAACGCCGAGCGCGAGTTCGTAAACGGGGCAGTGGCCCGCCAACGAGACCGCTGTCAGCAGCCCGGGAAGCCCGTCTTTGCCAGAAGTCGCCCAAGTCTGCTGACTGGACATCCCGCGGGATTGTACTGGAGGTGGATGGGCGCGGCTCCGACATGGCTCTTTTAGCAAACGACTGCAAAGATCTTCAGCAAAGCGTGCGCAAATGGGACAGCCACCGTCGCTCGTCTGCTCGCCTTCTTCGTCGAGTTGGGCCACTGTCTAGCGGGAAAGTTGCGTCAACGTCTCGCCCCGGAAAGAAGATCCCGTGTCCGGCTTTCGCCCGGTAGAGCGCGTACAGGCAGTTGATTTTCTGGACAGGTGCGAGTTGCAAGCACAGAACGTACTTGAAATAGAGCTGAGCGAGAGCGAAGGAGGTTGTTGCTTTGTTTGCGAGGGAGGAACCTTCGCTTGCAGCAAGTGAATATCGCGATGAGGTCGATGCAGAGCAGAGTAGGAATAGTCAGCCAAGGCGCAGACACATCGATACCCTCACTGTGCAAGTAGATTGGACTTCTCCTCACACCATGTACTCTTGGCACGTGGAGTACTGTGGTCGAGCCATGGCTCCCATGCGCAACTACGCACGGATGTGTAGGTTGACGTCGCAGCTTTCCATGCAAAGAGCGCCTGATCTCGACGTCCATGAAGGCAGATGAACGAACAGACTCTTGTCAAACGGCGCTGCCAATAGTCTGAGCGGCACTTCACGCCATTTTCTGTACGTCTCGCGTACATCCAGCACTCCTTGGCGCTCAGCTTTATTACTCACAGCGTGTTGCTCACCATTCGTCTAGTCAAATTGCTACAACAGGAGACAAATCGGGTGGTGCTCTTTTGGCAAATCGCATGTGCATGCCACAACAATTTGATGCCTTCGCCATTGACAAGACGTGACTTCCTGCTTTCCGACAGCAGGGCAAGTGTCTAATCGTGGGTGTCGACGTTGTTGACGTTCTAGCACACGTGATTGCGTTACTACGACGAGCTCTGGCGGGATTGCGTGCCCACGATGAGCTTAACCCGTTCACGGTCCTACGGAAGAGCTGATTGCACATGAACTGTTAGTTTCGACGATTGCAGAAAGCACCTTTGCTGGATTGTTTGCTCTGATGTTGATACTGCTGTTTGCGGACGCGTGATCAAAGGTCCGAGTGGGAACGTTCCTGGCACTGGGAAGCAGTTTGCACTCCAGGCTTCGCTTCATCCAACTTTGTGTCGACAGAAGCTGCTTGCACCCTTCTGCGATGATGCTGCCAAGGGAAGAGAACAGCGTGTTTTATAATGCCAACCGAAAACGTCGGTGAGTAGGAACCAGAGGGACGGCTGGCTCATAGTACGCGTCCCTGGTACTAGGCTTTGTATCTCAACCTTCGCATCTCAAGTGTCGTGAAAGGATCCAGCAATCACGTAATCTGGAAAGCTGCGTGTCAACACACCCACTAACGTCATGCCTCAGTACTCACTAGGGGCAGCTTGGCAGTCGAGAAAGATACGTCGTGTCATCCGAAGCTGCCATGAACAGCCAAGCTGTTTGACGACTTTATGTGCTTCACCTTGAAGGCGTGTGTAACCAACGTACTGACTGAAATGGCTTGTCGAGCCGAACGCATATCGTGGGTATTAGTTGACCGTGAACGCTGCTTACATGTCGATACGTCACGTAGCTAAAGCAACGATCTACTGCAGCGTTCGACAAGCCATGTACATGACCTTTCCACTCTTGTCGTGCAAGATACGCTTACTCGTGACACAGTGCGACAACAATCTAAAAAGCCTCTAGTCGGCTTCAACCGAGCGACGCGTGCGACCTTCAAACGTAGCGTGCCTCCTACTTATATGCCAAATAGCGATGCTACGCTAAGTCAACTTGTTCCATACGAGTGCAGCGTGTTGAGACTCACACAAAGCGAACACGTGTTCGTTCTACCTGTCTGTCTTTAATCCGACAGACCGTCCTGTCGTCATGCATGAGCCAGCAGCAGTCCTACGTAAAACAAGCAAACAAGCCGTGACAACGTGCGGACATGAGAACGAGGCACGACGATGCGTCAGTCATGACATTGTTGTATTTCAATCTATTGACATGCTGACGACCCGCCGCTTCCAGCATACATAGTAGAGTTTCCAGCAGTTGATCCACAGGGAAAGCTCATTTCCAAAAACACGTGTACGCTGTTGCTTCGCTTGGTTCAGCTGAGTTACCTACAGCCTTTCTTGGCCTTCGTCGTACTGCACTTCGCTTCCAGTGATGATCTCACCATGTCGAAGCGTCTGGTGCCAAGACAACCCCTTTCCATGACAGACCGTGGGATGTCGCAGCTGGACAGGAAGGTGTTGTCCCTTGCGATGGTACTACGATGAGCTGCAATTCGGTTGTGTCGTGTGTACGGCCTTCGGAAGATCAAGTCAAGAAAGTGCTACAGAGTTGCAGCAAGCAACTTCATCGCTACTTGGTGACAACAGTTGTCGTGCATCACTGGCGTATAGAAGAAACCCCGGCTCACATCTTCCCGAACTGCCTGAGAGCACGAGCGTCCGTGTTCGGGCAATTCATCTGGGCTGGGAGGTACTGGTTGTTTTATCAAGAGCGCGAATCGTCAAGCCCCCGAAGTACACTATGGCAGAAGCTAGACTGCATCGACGTTTCCAAGACGACGTGGAGGCAGGTGGTAAGGTCAGGAAACGAAATCTGGATTCGAACGTGTAGCAAATGCTTCACTCACTTACAGAGTGAGCGGAACGATGCTCTGTTCTGAGAAGTGTAGACTACGGCACCTCAAAAGCGCCTCACGTTTTCGAGAGCTTGGGATACGTCAACTCACAGTTTTGCAAAGCGCGAACATCGTACTCGCGACACAGTCGTCAAGAGGGCACTCTTTCACGCTTGGATCGATCAATATACTCTCGAATCTCGAGTCATGTCTGCGGAAAAGGAGGTCTGCCATGACAAGCTGCTGGGATAAAAGCGCTTACCACCTGGCTCTTCCGAGTTCAGATGCTGTACAGAATCAGACATGCAACGGCCCGTCACCAATCGCGTCTCGTGCCATCACTTCTTCAACCTGATCGAGAGTTTAGTCCTTGTCAGCAAGATATCATCGCTGCATCCTGAAACGTGGTGGCCATTGACCGTCAGTCACACCTTCTGTGACCGCACGCTTGCTGATCTGGTGCGATGGAGTAGCTCCTGCCGTAAGCGAGAACCAGCACCTTACGGCCATCTGATGGTCGTAAGTCGGCTGATTGTGTCTCGTTTCTTTCCACAGTAGTACAACGCGATTGTCGCGCGCGCGTCATGTTCAAAGCGCTTTCTGAGAGAGCTCAGACTGGCTATTCAACAGCTTTCAATGTGCGCTAAGAGGTGTGTAAGGCCCCGACGTCAACTGAACCCTGCCGGAGTCGAACGGCCGAGTGATTGAACGTGGCCACCGCATCCATCGAATCTGTAGGGCCAATGGGCCAATTCATTGTTCGACCTTGGACCTAAATTGTTATCATACCGAATCGAGACATCGGCTGCAAGAATGTGCGACCGATTGAGCTTGACCATACTGGAGCAACGAAGTATACTACTATGGGACTGCCGTGTGAAGAGGGGCTGAGACTGGGACTAACTTGAGCTGTGCAACGATCAAATTGGTATATTTTGCCACGAACGTGGTGGCGACCGCGGCTTCATGTCGAGTCCCTTCTCATCCCCAGTATCTGTACCTTGTTACAGTGATCATTCTGGTTACTACGACGTCGTGAGATTCGACGCAGGTCGTCGATTCATGTGCGTCGCCTTTTGTCGAAAATTGAGCGGAAGAGTTCCTTCCTAATCCTGTGTTGAGTGTAGAAACGTTCGTCATCTCGGTATCTCGTCGCGCTAACTGAGCTGAAAGCGCACTTGCTTATTTGGTCCCATGCAAAATACTCCCATTGCGTTGTGGCGTTCGAACGAATGGGCAAACGTGCCATTTGAAAACCTTTGAGTGCAATCCACATCGATGTTGCATCGAATGTGCTGAAGCATGATGTTGTATCATAGCTCCCAAGTCTTTCGACAGCTCGATCTTACCGTTTTTTGTCTTTGACGTGTGAACAACGCGCTGGATGCTGTTACAACTTCCGCTTGGACGTCGACAAACTTTACACGTACGTACGTCCTATAACTGACCCGTGAACGGGTTGTGCAACTACAACGGATGCAATTCTGTTACCAGACCTTCCGTCTTTGTTTTATTGACAAGATGACAGTGGTAGCTGTGCTTGTATAACGCCCACGTGCCCAGCAAATGTGTGTCGTTCTAATAGCGGTTAATCGTAGAGAAGTTTGAAGATTTGAGAGAAGCAGATCGTGCCGTACCAGCTAACGCTTGTTCTCACAGCTCGGGTATTTTCTGGATCAGAGATGACGGTCTACCAAATAAGTGTTCATTTGACTATGTATCACGCTTCCAATGTCACTATGGTCCTGCATAGCTGCGCAACAAGCATGGTTACATCAGTAAATAGCATCTTATAAACGAGACTTGTCTGCCGCTAGAACGTAGTTACAGGAATTACGGCAGACTACAACAAAGAGCGATGCTTCTCCCATTTGCTTTATCTTCCTGTCTTGTATCTGTTCAAATCGCTTTTTCGATAGCAAGGAGTTCACAAGAGGCGATAGTGTGAGCCGAGTAAGAAGACACCTGCTTGTCAGTCGTCCAAGTTGCCACTTCATTAACGTCGAAGCTGATGAGCGATGTGATTACACGGACAATGTATTTCTCGTCCACTCGCCTGGCAACAATATTTACACAAGACAGCCTGTCATCTGACCGCGTTTTGCTTTTCAACGGCTTCAGCAGGTTGGTCGGAGGGTTTTGTACTAAATATGGTCTTGAATGTCATGTGTCAAATGCATCGGTACGGCACATCGGCGACCACCAGTGAATTTATACGGACGCTAGGGTCGAGTTTTTCCATAGCTGTATCAATGCCTGGCAACTGATCGACCGCAAGCCGCTCTGAACTGAGCTTGTATAGACTCGAACCGGCGGACTTGTTGTTGAGCTGCTTTTCCATCAGATAACCGATTCCATCATCCATCGACATGCATTCCCCAGAATCACCGACACTGGAAGGCACATATCCTGTCAAAATAGACCCACATGTTCCACTGAAGGTCGTCCTGCTGCTATTGTGCTGCAGCGCTCAAGTAGGTCTCCATCGTGCTTCGGATCTTGTCGAGTCCAATTGGGCTGACGTCGAACCAGGAGACGTCTAAGCTTGTCAAAGGTGCACTGAAGCCTGCTGCATCCTTAGCGATGCCGTCTTGAATCCGCTCAAGCACTGCACGTACCGATACGTTTTGATTGTTCTCCCGCTTGTTCTCTTCCCTGGTAACAGCGTTTACCTGTAGCATCCGTTCAAACGGAATTCCATCCTCGACATCAAGAAGCATCAGGCAATTCCTCATAACGTCCTTTGCACTCGCTTGAGTACTGCGAGCGGCACCATATCGAACTTTCGTGCATTGCTCGAGCTCCTTCGATGCTTCAAAAGTTTTACTCTCGCTGCGTCGTGAGCGAGCTGTCCACAATTCTTCAAGCGAGCACGTGTGCGGCACGAACGAGCACACAGTTTTAGCCACAACAGCGAGTTGATCGTGTAGTGCGTCACCTTCGTAATCGTTCCAAAACTCGATCGGGTTCGATGTGTTGGCAGCATTCCACACACCTGATTCACCAAAGTCTCCCTGCTGCTTCATGTAGTCATTGTACGACCGAATGAAGTTGCTCTCGTTGAAATTGGAAACGAGAGTCGCAGCCACACGAACAGCAACACCACGGCAGCGACGCAGACCTGACACGCTCAAGCCAACGCCACGCACGCGTGGATCGAGAACGAGACAAGCCAAAGAGTGCTCTTCCACGTAACATGCCAGACGTCGTTCGTAGCTTTTACGTAAGGCATCAGCCTGATCGTCGAAAAGTGGCGAGCGCATTGCCGCACCGAACAGCCATATCCACAGCGCTAGTATCTGACCTGACGTCGTAGTTTGTATCTCGCTCAAAACCGATACACAGTGCAGCGGTGCCAGTAGCTGATCAGTGTGCCGTAGAGCGATCCAGGCCTTGTCACTGCTGCCTACGTCAAGTAATCGACGCAGCATCGAAGACGTAGCACCCTTCTCTTCAGAAATAGCCGGCCGGAGGATTGCCTGCAAACGACTGGTCTGCTTGACTGCGATTGCAATAGAGCGCCAGCTTGTACAAGATACTTGCACAAAGGCCTTCTGCACGTTTCCGTCGCCGTCGCTCGTATCGGTAGACACACCGCGTAGCACACGCTCATGTAGCGACGGCACCACGTGCAGAGCATCTGCAAGCAGAACAGCAGCATCAAGTGCCTCTTCCAGCGGTTCGCTAGAGCGCACGAGCTCCCGAACCAGCAATGCCGTCTGCTGCGTCATGCAGACTCCCATGAGCACCACAGCTCTGTCCGTTGCACTGGCTGCATCTCGAAGCAAGTCCCGACGCGCATGTGCGTACGTTCCCCACGTTGGGGCGCACAAAAAGAGCTTCGAGTTGAGGCCCATCAGCTGCACTTTCGACAGCACCGGAAGGATCTCCGCCACATCAGGAACTGCAGAAGGTTCACTGCCAACCGACAGCACGAACGCTCGTCGCCACTCGTCCAGCGCCACGTACGTCGCCCTTCTCCCTGCGTCAGCAGTGCCACCATCATCACCATCTCCAGTGGCTCTGATCCCTATTGTGACGGCAGTTGACGCCGTCAAGACGTCGCGGCACTCGCGATCGTACCCCAGCGACAGCTGGTCCAGCACTTCCGTCCGGGCACGACCTGCAGTCAATGGAAACTCCCCAGCCTCGACTGGCAGCATCATCTCCACTGCAGTGCGAAAGTCCGCATTGTCCAGCAACTTCCACGGAGATTTCGTGGTCACGAGAGCCGCCGTCAGCTTCGCTTCGATCGCTTGCCAACGTGTGGCGCCGAGTCGGTCACGGTTTGTCGCCTTCGACGTTGAAGTTGGCAATGACGTTGAAGAGGACGGGACCGCCTCGGACCCGACGGTTACTACCTTGCCTGCAGTAGGTACCGGTTGTACCGGTATTGGAGTACCCATCGCCTTGACTGTCATGTCTGACACGACGGTCGATGGAGTCAATTGCGACATGTCACACGCAGCGGTGGCGAAGATTGCCTTGACGTTTTGTGGAACGTTGGGACATTTCGCAGCGAGATGGCGTTTCAATCGTCCACTCAATTGCGGCGTGTCGCAGTGGCAATACAAACAGCGCATCTTTTTCACCTGGAGGGTAGGGTTGGCAGAGAGCGAGACGTCGACAAAGTGGTCATAGACGGGGCCGCGTTTCCGTCCAGCCGGTCGAGTGCTGGGGTTGCTACTTGAAGTTGCCGATGGAGACGAGTCGGTCGGTGCAAGTGAAAGCGTGTTGACTCGAACGCGAGGGACCCGACCTGGCGCTACGGACACTGGAACAAGTTTCTGGCTGGTGAACATAGCGCTCCAATCCGGATGTTTTAGACGCAAGTGCGTCAGTAGATTCGTGTACCCCGTGCTAACCGCTTGTGTATACACGTTCTGACACAATCTACAGCGGTGGCGGTTGGCACCTCCTAGCAACACGCGCTTTTTCTTGCGACCCCTTTTTGGTACTAGCGACTCATTTGGTGGCGGCGGAGAGGTCGGAGCGCTTGAGAAAGAAGGATCGGGGTCTGCCGCGGGCGCAAAGAAGAAGCTGCAGATGTCCGCGGAGTTAGCGATTGTCATATGTCCGTCCACGTGCTGATAGGGGAAATTGTCCTTTAAAAATCCAGAAAATAGGGGAGGGACACTGTGTTTATTTTTGACTAAGTAGACGGGTAAATATCGGCTCGTGATATGCAGATATGATCGCCACGAGAGATCGATCATACCTACGCATGTGTGCCAGCTTGCGAGAACTTCCAAAAAGAATGAGCTTCTAAGTACCATCTGCATACATTGCGTGTTTGCATCATATCAAGGTTGCCCGCATCCTTTCTACAGCTTCAATGCTGATTAAACGAGTTTAGTACACGGTTTCACAAGAAGCAGAATGGCTCCAACGTTAAACACGATCAGATCGAGCCAAAACACGAGAGAGATTTGCCAGTGCAAACAAAAGTGGAGTAGAGAGAAAAACGCAGCAGAATGGGCAGCAGCAATTGCACGACCGAAGGCGCAAAAGTCTCCACAGACATAAACGAGCTGCAGCGTCTTTGAAACTCACAGACAACAAGAACCTCACCCATCGAACCGATAGAATCAGCACAGCAGCTCGCACACGTTCTTTCCTGCTCTATCGCATCGAAAGAAGACAAGCAAAAACCTTCACGAGCACGTAACAAAGTCAACAGTCTGCCTGTTACATGTCACGTCTCCCCCTGTTTCCAAGCACAAGCGACACGCCTTCGTCTACAATCATCACCATGCCAATTCGGTGCAGCAACGTCTGCAGCCACGACTCAAGCAAGGCCCCGATTCTTCTCAACTCCCTCATCATCCATCCAATGCGTGAAACGTCTCGACAACTTGTTCTTGCGCCCTGCAGTTAGCTGTTTTGCTTGAGCTGGCGCACGTAGTTACTGAGACGGTGCTGGGCCTTGTTGGCAATCTAGTCAGGAGAGAAAGACGAGGAACAATCATTGCAGTGAGCTCAACTATAGAGCACAGCACAGCTCGTACACAACAAGCACCACGGCACAACGAACGTACGTCAATGGAAGGGTTGATAGCCAGCAGTGCTCGAATGTCCTGCAACGCAAGACGGTAACGCTCTAAGCCTTCGTAGGCCAACGCACGCCGCAGAAGCGCCTTCTGGTTCTTCTCGTCGTATTCGAGCACGTGAGTGCAGTCGCGAATCACGGCCGAGAAGTTGCTGAGCTGCTGGTTGCAAGCTGCACGATTGTTGTAGCACGACAGCGCGAGGTCCGAGCCAGGCTTGTCGCTGCAGGCCTCAATGGCTTCCCCATACAGTCCAATAGCGTTTTCGAACGCAGCGCTCTTGAACGCGTCGTTTCCACGCTCCTTCAGGAGCTCAGCGGGGCTCATTCCCGAGCGCTTGGCCTGTTCCACACGCGCCTGCAGCGGCTCAATCTCTTTCACCAGACGGTTCAAGTCAGCATTGTTGAAGTCGACGCGCTGACCAGCACGCAGCGTCGCGAGCGCCTCGTCATATTTCTTGAGTCCCTTGAGCGCTACACCGTGACGGTGGTACCCTAGACAACACGTGACCCACAAATTGGTTTTAGGCAAAATGGGTTCAAAATGACTGGCTCAGCGAGCTCGAAGATCGAAGGGGGATGTCACTCGAGCAAGGTGGTCACTCTAGCACCAGAAAAGAGACAAAAAAGCCCTGTGCGTTCCTGGAACGGACCTTTGACGAACTGAGGGTTCAAGCGAGTGCACTCGACAGCATCGTCCACGGCCTCTTGGAACTTCCCCCATCCAGCGTAGGCAGCACTGCAGCAAGGTTGATTAAACAGTACAGAACAGTTGTGAGTATCTTTAAGTTAATACATGCCTACAAATATCAATAGAGAGAGGACATTGGGATGAAAGGACGATGAATAAACACTCTACAATACAGTGGTCTGCTCGTTAGCTCACGAACCTGCGGTTGGAGTAGTAAACGTGGTTCGACGGATCCAAGTCAATGGCTTCCGTGTACTTGGCCACAGCCGTTGGGTAGTCCTGGTTTTTAAAGGCGTCGTTGCCCTCACTTTTGTTGTATAAAATATAAACATAAAGAGGGGGAGAGGACCACTCGGTATAAGCAATGAAGATGATGGCGACTTCGACGAGATGGACCTAATGGAAGCACACGCACTTCTTCTTGGCGTCAGCAGCGGGGTTGGCCATGTTCAAGTCGGTGTGGCTTCACTAGTGTGTGACTGAGAGCTATTGACAGACGGAATGGCTGGCTCCATCGTTATATCGAGGGGGGAGCTGGCTCAGCTATTGGCTCTCGCTGACGTCCTTGATCGGGGTGCACCACATCAGACGACGTGCACCACATTCAGACGAGTGACCGTCTTGCATCTGACTCGTTGTAGATTTGGAACATCGAACGCGATCGCGCAACAAGTCCAAATCAAAGACCGGACGCACTTTCGAACAGACTCAAACCTCCCCGGACCCATTACGATCAGAAAAAAGCACTTGTTTGCACTCCAGCTGCGGCCTCGACGCCCAGCGGCACGTCCAAGGTCCACCACAGCCTAACCGACCGACCGACCGCGACGCGACGCGACATTCCCCACACATCACACACACACTTTGCAGCCCCATCCTCAGTGGTGTGTGTGTTTTCCCATTGCAACACCACTAAGACAAACACCGTCCCCGATCACGACAAAAAAGCAAAAAAAACCACCACAAAACACACAAAAAAGCCAACCCCATCGACGATCACAATCCGCTTTTTTCACCCCCCCCCTCTCCCCCCCATTAACAATAATCACATTTCCGCTCTATCAAGCATGGAAAATTACCAAAAAGTGGAAAAAGTCGGCGAAGGGACGTACGGCATCGTCTACAAAGCCAAAGAGCTCTCCACCGGTCGCATCGTCGCTCTGAAGAAGATCCGACTCGAGCCGGACGAAGAAGGCATTCCGTCCACAGCCATGCGCGAGATCTCGCTCCTCAAGGAACTGTCGTCCCACCCGAACGTCGTGTACCTCTATGACGCCGTGTACCAGAAGAACAAGCTCTACCTGGTCTTTGAATTCGTCGAGCAGGACCTCAAGCGCTGTCTCGAGAAGCTCCCAGCGAGGATGGAGGTGTTCCAAGTCAAGAGTTACCTGTACCAGCTTTTGGCAGGGATTGCCTTTTGCCACGCGAATCGCGTGCTCCATCGCGACCTCAAGCCGCAGAACTTGCTCATTGACCAATACGGGAACCTCAAGCTCGGCGACTTTGGACTGGCAAGAGAGTACGGCGTGCCATTGAGACGCTATACGCACGAAGTCGTGACGTTGTGGTACCGAGCACCCGAAGTCCTGCTGGGGGCAAAGCACTACTCGACGCCTGTGGACTCGTGGTCCATTGGCTGCATTTTTGCCGAAATGGTCAACAAACAGCCGCTGTTTCCAGGCGACTCGGAGATTGACGAACTCTTTCGCATTTTTCGCGTGCTGGGGACACCGGATGAGACGCTGTGGCCAGGCGTGTCGACGTTGCCGGACTATAAGACGTCGTTCCCGCAGTGGCGGCCACAGCAGCTGTCGAAGGTCGTGCCGCAACTGGACCGCGTTGGTCAGGATCTGCTCTCGGTGTGTGTTTTGTTGTCGATGTTATTGTTGTTGTTGTTGGTATTGGTGTGAACTTGTGGAATTTATCGGTGGTGGTGGTGGTGCTCATGCTCTTTTGTCTTGTGCAGCGTCTGCTCGTGTATGATCCCGGTAGTCGCATATCGGCCCGTGCTGCAATGGCTCACCCGTGGTTTGCCGACTTGCACCCTCAATATGCTTCATTCCGCAATAATGGCAATGGAAATGGCACGCAGACGTTTTTCTAACAGAGGTGGGATGGCGATCAGGTCCTGAAGCGGTGAAGACAGGGGGAACGGGACTGCTAAGTTGAGGAACATGACCGGTATACGAGGGCAGCAAAGGCTTTTGCCGTCCAGCAGGGGGAGCAAACGTGCAGCAGCATCTCCTGCACACAGCACGACATTGCAACTGACAGTAAAATTGAAAACAAGATGCGGACGGCAGCAATGACTGCAGCTTGCCAAGCGTCGAAGCGAACAAAGCACAGTCGAAAAACGCGCATGAGAAGAGATTGATCCGTATCAACGTGACCTCTGCACAGCGTGTCCGACGTTTCTTCTTCAGTATCGAGGAGGCGTCAATTCCAGCGTTGTCCATCACCTTTTTTTCGTGCGCGCGTTTCCATCCTGTCCAATCACAAGTGCTCGCGCCATTTCTCACCCAATCAGAAGCCTCAATTCTCTCCGTTCTATCATAACATCTGCCTTCGGATCCGTTCATCTCTCTCTCGCTCTTCATCGCAGCATTATCCAGTGACAATGAATGGAGCTCCTCGTAAACGCCATTACTACGCCGAGCCTGGCAATCCCCCGCCCTTTGCTGCTCCTTCATACACAAAGAAAGCGCGGCCTTTTCTTTCGCCACCACCAACTGCTCGCGTGACAACAAGCAGCAAACGGTCCCATCGAGTCGACGGGTTCGAGCGCGAAACAGTGGCGACTCCCGAGTCGGAAGAGATCGAAGAAGACGAAGAAGTCGCGAATCGAGTGGCTCAAGTGCTCCATCAGTCGGTCGCAATTGATGAGGTCGACGAACTGGTTGGAGACGAAGTGGACGACGGACTCGAAGACGGTCCGATGCCTCTCGTGGTGTTCCAGTGCAGCACGTGCCGCTCGATCTTCGGAGACTCGTACGCCTTTGTGAGTTCCACGGAGCAGCTGTGGCTCGTGACGTTGAGCCACGTGACGAACGTGGCGCTGAATCAGGAAGTCCAGACAGCAGGGACGGGACTGGATAATGGGAGTTCGTACTATGAACTCCTGTGCCAGAACTGCCAAGCTGTGCTGGGACGCAAGTACTTGACGACGCCAGTGGCGCTGGACGGCATCCGGGACTTGTTCAGTTTCTCGACTGAAGCCATCACGTCGTATACACTTGGAGATCCGATGCAGTCGGGTGAAGCAGGGGTAGTTCCTGCCATGTCACACGCTGTAGCGGCGTGTCAAACGACCATGTTGAAGCTGGCTGCAGACCGAAGTGAAGTCGTGAGACTGCGGGAGGAAATGGAGAAGGTCAAGGGGCTCATGGTGACGGTTGATGACCGACTTGCGTGCTTGGAAGGTGAACCTGAATCGGAAGAGGAGACAACACGACGGCAAAAGCTGCCACCTAGTGCGTGAAGCGCACCTTACTCGTGTGGAGGTGAGTGTATAATGCGGACAGTTAGATGTCTCTGCCTTGTTGTTTTCTGCGTAAGTAGCTCGTGTGGGTGTAAATGGATGATCCATAAAGTTCTAGCAAGAAAACAGACACATACCAGTGTCACCCATCCATCGTGTGCACGTTAGTGTGACTCGGTCTTACTGCCAGACATTGGCTCCCAGGTTACTAAACAAGCTCCGCTTCAGCATCAAACACCGCACGAGCAGCTTCAATGCCTGTAGGCGGCTTGGCCTTGCGCATCTCACCCGGTCTGCACAAAGACGAAACAGCAGCAGCAGCAGCACGGACGACAATCAGACAGTCAGTCAACCAGATAAGTTCCTACTACAGCTCGGTATCGAGGTAAACAGTAAATGAGTTCATACCGATCCACGTATTCAATCACCGCCATCTCTGCCCCATCTCCTTTCCGAAAATCGGCCTTGAGAATGCGCGTATACCCGCCTTCCCGCAGACTGCAAATGTGCACGACAGACCCAATCACAATGTAAACAGTCACATCATCAGGGGACATTCATGTATACGTGTGCATACACACACACGCACGCCAGTCACAAGTGCTTGGGTGCTCATAGCATATACACATTGTATACACACGTACGCGTAACGAGGACCCACCACCTCAAAGAGTTTGGTCATGGCCTCCGGCGTGCGCACGATACTCTGCGCCCGTTTACGAGCCGATTCGTCGCTCTGTTTGGCCATCGTCACGGCTTTCTCAGCCACTCGACGGAGTTCCTTGGCCTTGGGCAGCGTTGTCCGGATACGTTCGTGCTCAATGAGCTGCGTCACCATGGTACTGCATCGAATCAGAATAGAAATAGTCAATCAGAAAGAGAAATAGAAATAGAAATAGAAATAGTCACTCAGAAAATGACAGTGAGGTTCCTGCTGCTGGTGATTGAATCGGGAGGTCAAGACGGAGATACTTGGGTACATACCGCAGCATCGCTTGGCGATGAGACGACGTGCGGTTGAGCTTCCGGAAGGCGATGCGGTGCTTCATGACTGCTGGTCAAGTCCAGTGGCGTATGGGCGTCAGAAGGCGGCAGTCGTAACTGGTTTTGTCCAATGGTCTTCGTGCTGTGGAGTGGGGCGGGAGTGTACCTTCGTGAAACATTTGGCGCCAAATACTCACAATAGTGACACCACGCATGTCGATCGCGTGTCTTGTGAACGACTGTAAGCACGGAGCCGATGCATCGATCGATGGCTTTCGTCGAATCAAAACGTCAGTTTGGTACTGCACTGATCCTCTTTTTGTGTCACCCTTCGACTGCTGTAACTGCGAAACACGATTCACATCCTTTGACCTTGAACAGCGCAGACAACATCAGAAGAAAGAGGTCAATCGACCAAAGATAAATAAATAAATAAACAACGATGCAAATTGTTGTGAAAAGAGGTCCGGTCCTGGACCTCTTTGCTCTAACCTTCAGCACTGCGATACTGCAGTTTCGTTGAATTGATTCTAGGAGATGCATCGTTGTCGAAGGTTCTCTACTGTGACACCTTGTGCCGATCAAGTTGATCGGGTTGCAGGATGGATGATCACTTTCAGACAATTCAACATGGGGGGAATAGTAGCAAATAGAGCAGCCACCTAGTGGACGGACCTGGCCGTATTCAGAGTTTTGGCAGTTATCATCGAAACGACTTTCAGTGTAGCAACTGTGTCAACATTGCATCAGGGATGGTGGTTTCACTCAAACTTCTTGGCCAGCCAGTCGTTCAGTCATTTCTGCACCAACCACTAGACATGCAGTTTCTGAGTTGCAGCGTACCTCAATACAACATCATGATGGACTACAAACACTTTGAAAGTTCCCAAATGCAGTGCTTCATTCATGCGTCCATGACAACTTCGCACATGTTGCAAGCCTGTTACTCGGACTTCACGAGGCGGTCAACAACTCGCAGCAACTTTGAGCTCCTCACAGCGTGGGCAGAACCTCGACTTCGATGTGGTGAGGAGCCACCTGCACGTCGTCAAGCGTCAGGATCTGTTTGCGATCATCCTCGCTGCATACCACGGGTGTGCGCAGCTTCGCCGAGTATACACACGTACTGGGCTCTTCAATATCAGAGAGCTCCATCGGCTCCGGACCACACTCTAGCGTCACTGTCAGCGATCGGTTCGGTCCGTTCCAGCACTTTTGGCCATTCGAAAACTTTACCTGCTTCACAATTGGTCCAGCAGCGGACGAGTCCTCGGGAGAACCCTCGCCGTCCTGTACCTCAATGCCCTTGATATCCTCCATATTGCCCAAGATGGTCTGGTCTTGAGTCGCCTTGCCGAATAAGCAAACCTTGTACGTGTACTGCCCCCCGCTCGATTCCACACACTTGTCGCGCAGCCCAAAGAACAGACGGTCCACACCGTATTCCTTGTTCATCAGTGTTTGCGCCTCAAGCAACTTGCCTTCCACCTCCTGAACTTTTTTCTTTGCGTCCTCGTGCTCTTTACGAGCCGACACAGCTTGACTCGACTCATAGCGCTCAGTAACAGCCAGCTCTTCGTAAAGCAGATCAATGGGGTGGACCTCAACTTCGGGGAGCTCCAGGTCGTCCGCGCCAAGCTCTTCGACCTTCTCGTCCTCAACCGGTGAGGCGATGTCAGGCTCTGCTCCACCTTCATCTCCGTCAGTAGCAGCCGCTTCTTCCTCCAACGCTTCCATTGCTTCCTCCACTGCCTTCTCCTCGTCCTTCGTACGCTGTTCAATCAACTTCTCGATGCGACGCGTCTCCTCTTGACGGGCCTCGTCTCGCTCACGAAAGGCCTCGTCTTCTTCATCCATCGGTGTCTTGTGCATCTCTTCAGCTTCTCTGACAGCTGCCTCACGCTCCTTCCGGATAATCGGCAGCAAGTCGCGCTTTGTCCACACACCTTCCCGTCCAATCTCCAGAATGATTGACGTCAGCTGCTCTTTGGTCAGCTCCAGCAGTCCCAATTGGTGCATGATCTCGTCTTTACTCTCCGCAATGCGTCGCTCCTTTTCTTCCTGCTCCGCTCTCTCCTCGTCCTTCACTTTTTCTTCTGACTGCTCTACCAATCCACGCAGTAGAGCCACTTCAGCTTCCAGCTGCTGTATCTTGAGCTCTTCCTCGTTCCAGAGCCTGCGGACTTCAGCCGTCAACACGACCCGATCCTTCAGCCCTGCCTCCACTTGCTGCACCAAGTCTTCCCTGTCTGCCACAAAGCTCTGCATCTCTTCAGAGCAGTGCGAGGCACAGGACGCGCCACTCGCGTACTCGTCCGAGGCGTCGCAGCAGTCACAGACGCCGTCGTTCACGCGTGACGTCGGGAGTTCCGTCGAGAAGAAGCCAGCATTTTCACAGTGGAAGACTGCCTTGGTGTGCGAGCAGGCAGACGTGCCAGGCTCGTCACTGCCGTCTTTGCAGTCGCAATAATTGTCATTCAAGCGCGAGAGGGGCCACTGTTGCTGTCGATTGTCACAATGGAACTACAGACAAAAAAGAGCGGAAAATGGGTACACAAATACGACACGAGGTTAGGTGTACGCAAGTGAGTCTGATTGGTGCTACTGTAATATTTGATAGTGTTACAGCTTGTGAGGATATGACTGTTGGGGGGATGATTGACACGTACGCTGGACACGGACCGGAGCTTCTGCTGCATCTGCGGCGAGAGTCCGCGCCACCGGTTTTCAGGGGCGCATTGCACGACGGCGGAGAGCAGCGCGAGCGGCAGTACGAGCCACTGAAGTGCCATGACGACCGACAGAGGTGGTGACGTGTCCACTGCAAGAGCTAAACTGATCGCTCGACGGCGGTGGTACAATGGACCAGTGATGGCTACAGCCTTTGGTTTTTATTCTTAGTCAGAGAGAGAGAGGGCGAGAGATTCGATGACGGTAGTCAAAGATGACGTCGTTTTTTATTACTTTCAGCTAAATATGATCCGTGACAAAGTACTACTACTACTACTACTACTACTATTCTCCATCCCTGAGTCGAAACGCGAACGAACTGACTGTGAAACCAAGTGACTACTACTTTTAACAGGTCCACACGTCCGTGTCTCCCGGTCGCCCGACTCTGGGCGAAAACCAAGCCCAATCGAACCCGCCACCGGGCCGCCGTCCCGTCTTTAAACATTGACGAACGAGGGCGAGCGATCTAATCGTGACGCACTACTGTGATGTGCCATCGGCGACGCGTCGCCGTTTTGCTCCTCGTCACTGCTAAACAGCATCGCCTCTAAAATGCTCAAATCGTGCTGGTCGAACAGTGGAAGAGCCGAGGACGACGACTCTTGGGACACTTGTGGCGGCTGCATCTCCATTGGAGGAGACGCCACGGGCACGGGCAAGTTTATTGAACCCGTCATAGTATTACACGGGGATGACAAGACCTTGGTACGATCAAAAGGACCCGGCTGCATCTGGTCGGTCGGGTCGGGATAAAACCCCGTCCGGCCAGCTGCGAACAACGCACTAGACCGGCGACGGTACAATTGCTGTTGGGCCTGGATCTGCTGAGCCAGTCGCTGGCGCTGGAGCTCCTTCTGTTGCTGCTTTAGCACGCGACGTCGATGGTCCAAGCGCATCTGATTGCGGTTGGCCTTCTCACGGTGCATGGCGCAGAACTTGTGGAGACCGCCGCTCTTCTTGTGCGTGCGCTCGTTCTCGCAGCGTTTGCTCGAGTACTGACACCGCAGTGACTCGGCGACCTCTTGAGTCGAGCTGCTGCTGCTGCTGTGGAGCTGCTGGCCGTTGGTAGACGACGTGTTGCTCATTTTATTATCAGGTGACGAAAGAGTGTGGAGCTTCAATGCGAGCTGCTTAGTTGCTAGCAAATTGAACTCTGAAGTGAGAGAGATCGACCGCGGTGCTTTCTTCTCGAGACGATCGCAGGACAAGCGCAACAAACTGTCGGCTCTGAATGTTTCAACTTGTCATGATCGAGCGGGAAAGAGAGTGAAAGAGCGAGGCAGCTGAACAAGAGCGGGACGACCGACAAATCGAGCACTTGATCGAGTAGTCGAACTCCCTAAAGCGACGGAACGCGCCCGGCGTTGGAAATCCAGCGGTAATATTTTTGCGGGCGAGATCATGTCTGCGTGTTCTGACTGGTTGAAATGGACGACGCGAGCGGGAGTTATCTCCGGCTGACCAATCACGTTGCGCAAACCGTCGTCTGGATGGTTCGCAGAGATGTGTGCTGTACACCACAAAAGCAGCGTGAGACGCTTATTTTGTGGCCCCCTGTCGCACCGGTCATGACAATCAAGTCGGCCTCGCAAGTGATCACGCTTGCAGTATGAGGGCAACATCATCGAGCCGAACGGCCGGGACGCGGCGGTCAGCGGTGAACGGAATGTTGGTAGCAGCGTATGTGAAACTTTCAGAGTTGAAGTCGCTCGCGTTCGGTGATAGTAGTACAGAGATATTTATTTTTACGAGGCGTATTCTAGATGCCCCTACTCTCGGACAGTACGAATGGCGCACTCACCCGGACACAAGCCAGATGCCAATCGAATAAAACGCCAACTCGTCGTCTGAGAAGCACTGCAGCGTTCACCTGAAACCATCGGTCTGTAGGTGGTAGTGTGACAGAAAATAACGCCTCATACGCGACACGGCTCGACTTCCGTGCCACGTGAAAATAAACCGCTTGATGCCCAGAACGAGTAGCACCTATTAATGCATGATGTCTAGCGCATCTTCGCCGTCGATGCGATACTGTTGCTGCCTGATTATTCAGTTGATTCAAAGCTATGGTCATAGCGGAGTTGCGCCCTCAATGAAGCGCGTCCGATCATGTCGCAAGAATAACCGCTTCGCTTGGTCTCACCGGAATAATCCAGCTGAATGATTCCGGATACATGGGTCCACACACGCAGCGACAAGTATCGACCACAGTGTTAGTCGATGACGTGTACGGATACGTATGAATAAAACGATACGTTTGCAACATGGCATGCTTGATCACGCTGTAGCCATCTGTCACGTTCGATTGCGTACAATTGTGTGCAGCCATGTGGTCCTCCTCGATTCCGCTTTTCTATGGTCGTGTTTCGCACGGATACGACGGTCGGCTTCGATCACGCTCGGGTTATAACTGTAGCAATCCATCGTCGTGAACCGAATGGCGTCGATTGTGTCATCCAACTGGGTTTTCGCCGAACTGAGCGATACCGAATGCAACTGCTGCGCGAGTATGTGTGTGCCAATGAGTCACCGCAGTGGTAATGTATTTAGGAAAGTCGCTGCACGTTTCGTACCAGCCACGACTGATCATCACACAGTGCACCATCGAAATGCAGACGTAGTATCACCTAACCAGTCCAGCATGGCGAAAGTCCCTAGTTCATGTAAATGTCACCTTGCGCCTGACATTCAACACGGTCTACGCTGGTATTTCACAGCGTACGAGTCCAGTTGCTCCGAACTCTAGTTCAGTGAGCCAAGTTTCTCAGCAAATGTCGACTCTGCATTACAGATGCGACGACGGTGTTAGATCATGTTCTGAAAAGAATGAAAAGTGTCGCGAAGATGTGAACGTGGACTTCAGTGTGAGGAGGATGAAAACGAGGCCTCGAACCGCTGCAACAGCTTCCAGTTGGTACTAATCTTTACATTTGCTTCCTTGTATTGTCACGATTATGGTAGAAAAAAACTCGCAACACTGCTTTCGCACTAGTCTCAGCGAGTGCGAATGCCTCTGGCGTGTTACTTTCTATCGCGGTAGTAATTTACTCTATGCGGGCATTGTTGATGAACGAACAAAATAGACGGGTTGGTGGCTGGGGCTACAGTCCTACAGGGACATGTTGCCAGAAGGCAGGCTTGATGCCGCGTAGGAGCCCATTGCCATGCTCATCGGGTAACTTGCCGTGTACGTCAGGTCTTCGTCAGTGAATGCACAGCCTTCGCTGTCCTCGTCGTCGAAGAGCATGGATTCGAGCATCATCACCTCCTCGCGCGAGAGATCACAAATCGGCTCCTTGGGCTCCATCATGTTGGTGACGGCATTGTACTCCATGGGCACTTGAGCCGCGTCCATGAAACGTTTCTTGCGCTCGACCATTTGCTGACGAATGAGACGGCGCTTTTGCTGCATGCGTTGCTGGTTCACGTTGGCTTTCTTGCGGTGGAAGTCGCATAGTTTGTGCAGGTCTCCGTTGTCCTTCACGGCGCGGTGGTTATTGCAGAGCTTGCTCGGATACGAACACCGCACCTCCGTAGGGAGCAAGGTGACGGTCTGCTTGTTGTCCGAAGTAGAAGCAGCAGTAGCGGCAGCGTTCGTACTGGACATAGTCGATGTAGTTTGAGGTGGAATTGAGAAGTTGATGGCGAATTGAATAGTGATAATCGCTTCAGGCTTAACCTATTCTTCGGGGTGCTACTCCGAGCTCCTTACTTCTTGTTACGGCGCCGCTTCGAGACCGCCACAACACCGAAAGTAGCAACGATGCGTCGACAAATGCGCTACCTGCCTCAAGCCCGAGCGGACTCTACTGAACTCTGCGGCAGCACGCTTTCAAGATTTTTAAGCGGTCAAGTTCCCGTCCAGAACAGTTCTTGATTGCTGTATGTCGTCTCGAAAGGACTGGGGCTAGTTTGAGCAAAGTTAATTACATGTCGACCGTAGCAAGTGCTCCGTCTTGTCGCCGTTGCGACGTTTACGAAAGGCTTGACAAAGAAGCTCCGATCGATGTAATGTAACGGAGACTGTCTCCGCTGCCCAATTGTGGCTACTTTGAGCTGAGATAGCGACTCCAAGCTGCAAGTGCTCAGTGCGTGGACCGCTGAGATGTAGAGACAAAGCTGGCGAGAACGGACTGTTCGGGCGTTTGATGAGAACTGGCTCGCTCTGGTACAAGAGAACTGTTCTCGACGAGGCCTCGGGGGTCTTCATAGCTCCAGCAAGCAACAGTTTGGCTGAGCTTACTGATCGCCACGAGCGACTCCACCATGTGGACTGAAGGAGGAGGCGTTCACAAAGACTGCAGTGGCAACTGCGGTAGGCCCTAAAAAGGAATGATGCATGAATACAATGCAAATGGTCAACGTAACGCCTCGTCAGGTCGCACTCATTTGGTTGACGGGGTGCTTTCGTACACTTGCAAGTGCACGAAAGACACATCATCACCTGGAAGAAGCTTGAATAGGTTGACGCAGGCATACGGTACCATTGCCAGAGGCATCTTTCAGTAAACCCGTTGTAGTCATCACACTAAAGTCCAAGCAGTGGCTCTCTTCAGCTGTTACCATGTGAAGAATAGCGAGTCTTTGTTCACTGTAAATGAGCCAAGAACGGGCTCACCTGTAGTATGCGTGGTCACTAGCATGACGTTTGTTCTCGCTGGTATCGGTAAGGGGTACTATACTCGCACATGACTACATCGTAGTAGGGTCGTCGTACTATCGCAGCATTTATCTACACTACAGCTCGACCAGTAGAGTTTGCCATTCCTATATTCAGATGGTATCCGAAACCTGTACTGGCAAGCCATGTCCAACAGAACAAGACGCTCCCCGCCCTTGTTTCAACTACGAGGAATCGAACGATGGACCGAAGTGATGAGCTGCAAAAGGCACAACGATCCCCGTAGTATTCTTCTTTTTATCGCTGCTTCAGCGTGTCTCGAAGGGTACTGTAGAGTGTGAAGCGATTGACACATTGGACCGGGTCAGACTGCACAACTAACTAGTAGTTGCGAAGCCAATTGCGTCTAGTTGAGCTCGACGTATAGTCAGATCGAGCATTACGACGCAAGCTACTTGCTTACCCTCCTTGCTTCCTTTCATGTGCGTCTGATTGCCGCCCACGGACGCTAAGGCCGGTCAGTCGCAGCTCAGAACAAGTGGCCTAGAGCTGACCGATCGAAGTGCAGCGCTCCCATTGTCCACAGCATCCGAAGGTTGGCTCATCTCAGGTCGGCCCTACCACGCGTAACGCAGGCTCTCCTTGTCCCCATCATTGCTACCATCTGTGAGGCATCTTCAACTGCACACGAGCGACGTAATCACGATGTCTGCACGCCATGCAGAAGGAAACAGACGGAGTCGCTCACCGGATGGATCCTTGGCTTCGAGCGGCTTTCCAGTTCAGATCCACTTCAACTTTCGTTTGAACCACAAAGGGCTCAACTGGAAATGCTTCTTCTACGAGGAGGAGGTAGACCCGAGAATCCAGTCTGTGTGACATGCAAACGTGCCGTTGTCACGCGAGCGTGCTGTGGCGCCTCAGGAGGAACAGAGCAGATCGAATGTGTTCCGAGGATCAAGGGCCAAGTGACGCTCAGCCAGAACGCTTGGATATCCTCAAGCTCTCGCTGAAAATGCCATTCCAACGACATGGCGAGGCACCGAACACTGATGACTCTGTGTTACGCTTCTCGTGAACGCGCACGTCACGTCATCAAGGGGAGGACGACCACTGTAGCTCCAGGCTCTGCCTCGAGGTAGGTCGTCCACGTCTTTTTATCGCAACTGCTCACATGGTCACGACATCAGTGACACCTTCTCTAGAAGACGAGAGCTTGCCAAGACCTCCAGGCGGGAGTGGACTGACTGTTTGGTAACATCAAAAGATAAAGAGAAGCACTGGCCACGCAGACTTCTTGCTCCTCTATCTTTTCCGACTGCAGTATCCTGCACTACGAGCAATATTGACGGTGATGTTCGAATGCAGACGAGCATTTGGGCGTCTATCATAGCGTCGGTCGATGTCTTGTACTTGTGTCGATACTAGCGTCTTGTACCGTCCGTGGTTTCGCCCATAACGCTAAGACGCTAATCATTCTGTGAAAAGCTGCGAGACTTGCGGTGTGAAACACACGTAGCTTCTCGACATGCCCTGTGTTGCTTACGCAACTGTCCGTGATTTTGCACTGGTAAGGCAGACCTTGATCAATGTTGTGGATAACCTCTGTAGTCTTTTTCGACGTTCATGGCGTTGCTTCCGCCCCCCTTGCCTCGACAAAGGCGATTACAAGTACCACAACTGACCAGCACTAGTGCATAACCTGTACTTAGCATGTCATACCCCCAATGAGGCGGCTGGAATGCTTGAAAAGCTACTCATTTTGGCGCTTCTTGCTGTTCTTCTGAAATCGCACGGCCGAAAGTGGCTCGCGTAGACCTGAACGACCGTAGTATACCACGTTTATTGTACCTCCTCTACGATATCTCGACTACAGTTCGACGCTACGATGCTGCTGCATTTTCCCGTTTACTTGGAGCTTTCGTGCGGACAAAAGAAATGCCACAGCGACCTCACACAACTTGTTAATGTGAGGAGAGGCCGCCGAATGACAACAACAGCCAGCACCTCGTTGCGGCCTCATAAATCTAGACAACAAGTGATTGCTTGGTCAAAACTGCATCGCTTAGCTTCCTGCATTGCAACGTGAATCTCTTCGGCTTTTTGTTCGCAATGGAGACAAGGACGAAAGTACTTGGAAGGAAGGAAGGAAGGAAGGTATGTACTGAAGCTCAAGGAAACGAAAGTGATCATGTGAGGGAGGGGTCGAGCTCATTCGGACATTTATAACAGATAAGGGGTGGTGCACAAGACTCGCTCCTCGAATCAGATGGTCCGTCCGTGTGGTCCACCCAAACTTCCCCGCACTTCGTCGTTCGCAATTGCCAAGCAGACTCATGCCACCATCTGGGATGGCCACCAGCTCGTTCTGATTGGCTCGTGGAACCGAGACACAACTTTCACCCGACACGTCACAACACGAACCCAACGAGCGGCTCCAAACGCTCGTGGCCGCCCTTGAGTCGGATTATCCCATTGAGCAGCACAAAGACTCTCAGACCTGATCAAAAATGGTCCTCATGCTCGTCGTCAAGAACTCGGCGCCCGTGCTCAAGTACGTGCTCGACTGTTTCTCCCGTCACAGAAGCACGACGATCTTGTTGTGTATACACGCACGTCCTCCCTCCTCCTGTGCTTCTTGCACGTGTATACGCCGAGTGTATACAGACTGCAAGTGTCCATTGAAAAACAGGGGAGGGGGGGTGGCGTTATAATCTGTCGTGACGAATGTTTTCGTCGTTGCAGACGACAGTCGTCGATTGTTTCGTTGTTGATTGACATATGACGTACGCTTACACCAATGTACCCATGTTTGTATACGTGTACCCACAGGACGGTCGGTCATCAAGCCCGTGGCATGGCTACCGAGAAGCAGATCCTCCAGCGTATCACAGGCACGTCGAACATCGCCAAGATCACCAAGTCCATGAAGATGGTGTCAGCTGCTAAAATGCGCGGCGCTGAGAACCGCATGAACGCCGGTCGTCCATTTACAGCCTGGCTGGACAATGTCCAAGGCGGTCGGGACCGCACCATTGAGACGGACGGCCTGGCGCCCCTGGAAGAGCTCGAGGGCGACAATGTCTTTATTGTCGTGTCGTCCGATCGTGGTCTCTGTGGAGGCATCAACTCGGGCATTGCCAAGACGGCTCGCAAACAAGTGGCGGACGTCCCGGACCAGTCGCAGATCTTTGTCATTGGAGACAAGGCCCGTGCCCAGCTGCGTCGTGACCTGGGCGAGCGCATCCGTGGCAACGTGACGGAGACGTACCAGTCGCCACCGAACTTTACCGTGGCCAGTGCCGTTGCCGAGGCTGTGATCGCCTCGTCGCCTCATCCCGAGTCGGAGAAGGTGCATGTCGTGTACAACAAGTTCAAGTCGGCCATCTCGTACTTGCCGTCGGTGCGCTCGCTGGCAGTGCAGCCGGACTCGGACGCGTTTGACCTGTACGAGATGGAGCCGGACAACAAGGACGAGCTGCTTGCGGACCTCAAGGAGTTTGAGATTGCGACGGCCATTTTCCACGGCATGCTCGAGAACTCGACGAGCGAAGAGTCGTCGCGTATGGCGGCTATGGAAAACGCCACCACGAATGCGGAGGACCTCATTGGTTCGCTCACGCTCGTGTACAACAAGGCTCGCCAGGCTCGTATTACCACGGAGCTCATTGAGATCATTTCGGGTGCCGCTTCGTTGGACGGGTAAGCAAGTGGTGGGTGCCATGCGTCCGATCTGTTGCCAGTGCTTGAATCTGGAGCTGACGGGGTCGAAGACAAACAATCGGACGGAATGATGCATTTCATGTGCGAGAAACGACTTGCACAGTGTGGGCGCGGGACGACAGGTACGAGCTGGACAGATACGACGAAGTACGCTCAGTTGCTATTGTGACGACGATGGAAATAAATGGCAAACTCATCTACTCACCGCTAGCTGCTAAACCGTCGTACTCTCTCTCTCCAGTCACTTTGTATGGTAATGCGAAGCCTGATTACTGCCGAAACACAAGGTCAAACAATGCTGTTGATCTGCCAAGTCAGCTGACACGCGATCGCCATCAAGATACATTTCTAGTGTATTGAGCTCCCTTACAGACATGATGATTGCAAGGTGTAGCACTGCTGGCAGCTTCAGCATGTCAACACGAGTTGAGTCGAATCAGCATCCACCAGAGCTGCTCGAGTCCCTTGAACAGTTTAGCTCAGAGCAGCGCGGTCATCAGCCGATTTACAATGGATCTATCTCCCTTAGATTTTGGAGAAGTGCTCGGTGACCTTGTCCATGACCAGCCACTGAATACCGTACGACGGGCACAATCGAGTGAGACGCGGCACAAGACCTTTGTACAGTGCGGTGATGCCTTCTTCCTTGGCTATCACAACCATGGCATCCACCATGCCCTTGTACTTGCCACCTGCACCTGCAGCCGTCTCCTGTGCCATTAGCCGCGTCTTGACCACGTCCATCGGGCAATTAATGCACGGGCCAGGGATGGCACCGATCATACCCGTGAGCCCGCTTTTCCACGCCGGCAGCGAGTCGCCTTCCTGGAGCTTCCACACGTGTTTCTTGATAAAGTTGTTGGACCAGAAGCTACAAGCCTGGTTCAGTCCTTGCCGGCCGATCGTCGGCGCCAACCCCTTCCACAGTGCCAGCGGGCCTTCCCGCTTGACAATCGTCGTCGCAGTGTGCACGGGACCACGATACTTGGGGATCTCCCCCTTGACAATATTCTGGCCCTGCAGCCGCGTCTTAATGACTTCAAACGGCGTGACAATCAGCACAGCTTCGGTAGCACCTGCCAGTGCCCCTGCAATGAACTCGTTAGCCCCGCTCACCTGTCCATTCTGGTCCGACAACATGCGGCGGAAAATGGCATTAAAGTAGAACCGCGTGCCGTTCTTGAGCACAACGTGGACAGTCCAGGGCGTAAAGCCTTTAAAGAGCCCCTTGGGCCCTTCCGCCGCCACGAGCTTCTTGCCACAGTCCACCATGCCACGGTACTGCCCCACCTTGTCCAGTTGCATGCGCGTCTTGGTCACATCCAGCGGCGTGAGGACCACAGCTTCAATAACCCCAGAGAGCGCACCCCCTAGAAACTTGACAAGCGGCGAGACTTTCTTCCCCCGTCCGTCCTTGTCCACGAGCGAAGGGAGCGGGGCCCGCAAGCCGCTCTCCCCCACTTCCACACTGGCTTTCCACCAGTTCTTGGACAGCAACCGGACGTCCGGGTCCCACAAAAAGTGCTCCAAAGCCGTCGTCGACACCATCTTGGACCGCAAGAGCAGGTACAACATCTTGAAATCCGCTTCCTGGACGCGATGCGCGTCCCGTGGACGCAGCTGCTGGATCATCTCCGTCGCTTCTTGCAGCGTCACGTGCACGCCCAGAGCTTCCAGTCCGTGCTGGAGGTCCTGGTCCACGACAAAGCCCTTGTGCTCGCGATCGAAGGAGCGGAACGTCTGTGAGATGAACGCGTCGTGGAGCGCGGCAAAGTCCTCGAACGTCAGCAGGCCGCGGTTCTGGGGGTCCAGACGCTGCATGAGACGGGCAGCCGCTTCAGTCGAGAGGTTCACGCCGGCGACCCGGAGGCCCCGCTGGATGTCGAGGGCATCGACTTGGCCGTCGCGGTCGACGTCGATGCGGGCGAAGGCGTCGCGGAGGAGCTGGGTGACGGTCACGCGCGAGTGGCGGCGGAGGAGGTTCGCTTGCGCTGGGTCGGGGGTGGCGGGGAGGGGTGTCATGGACAACGAGCTCCTGGAGAGAGGGGGGGGGCGCGAAGAGCTCAATTGGGTGTTGTGTGTGTTTGTGTTTGGATGGTGTGGTACATGGGTGAGTGGTGTGAGGTTGGTGTGGCGGGGCGTTGTGCAGTGTCGTGAGGAGACGCGTGGTTGTGATGAGGTGTGGACTGTCATATTTTATACTGATGATACTGGGTTTACGTTAACTGAAGGGTATTTCGTACGATTCAAAGTGGACTGAAAGAGCAGATTTGGAGACACCTCATGGCGACTGCAACTACTACATCCATGGACGATGAGCCCCAACGGCTCGTTTCAATCCTGTTGTCGCTACGTCCGGCTTCGATTGTGCTGCAACTGCTGGCGGTTCCTTTTGTAGATACGAAGCGTGGCTACCGCAACTCATTGGACACTTTCCGAGCAGTGGAAGGTGAGAGCGTGACAGCTGCTGGATCGATTTGTGTCGTCGGGCAGCTTTGATCATCGACAGAGGTACACGGTTCGTCCGGCTTGACGATGACACTGCTAGACGCCCGACGCGCTGTTGTTGACGCTGCTGCTTCTGCTGCTGCAATAGTTTCTGCTTACGCGTCTCGCGCTTTTGTCCAGTTGCAACTTCCAGAGCTATTTCCGAGTTTTCAGGCAACTCATGCTTGTTCAGAGTGCGGACCGCGTACGGCTCCTCCGCCTCCTGCATACAGTCGCTGCTATCATCACAGTGGTCAGAGTACTTCTCGATGACAGCGTTCTTCCTTATCGCCTTCGAACAAATGAGGCGTCGCGCTTCGTCGAGATGCTCGTCTTGTGCCTGTTCTTGGTCATTGCTCGTCAACCCAGGCTGACAGCTGGCGGTCTTACGGATGACGGGAAGGTTGCCTCGTAGACGGTGTTCATTGATAAAGTTCTGTAGATCAGCTTCGCGTACGCATTGTCGGGCGCATAATTCCTTGAGCTCCACGTATTTGACGCGCGTTTGTCGCAGCTCGTCCTCGCGCTGGCGCAACCTCTTTTTCAAAAAGACGATCAAATCCGTTTGCTGATCGGGTCCGAGCATTGGTTTATCGACTGGACTGCCCAACGTCTCAGTGTGTCGTCTTTGCAACAAATCCGAATACAGTGGAAAGTCCGACCACACGCTCTCGACCAAAACGGGCAGCTCCGTCTTGCCACAGTTCAGAACTTTTCTCTTGCTCATACTCTTCCAACACTCCACCTTTGCCAAGAACTCACTGAGACGACAAGTCATGTCATCGAGCTTGCCTCGCAACCCCAACACCGTCTTCGCATGGTCGCTTGGCAACGACCTTTCCCCCTCTTCCAGCTGCTTTGACTCGTTGCTTTGTTGGATTGTATCGTCGCTCAGGCAAGGAATATCCACTTCATCAAGACGATCGTGCTCATTCAAGCCACTGAATTGAGCACTTTGGTGTTCCTTCACTGACAGCTGTCGTTGATCTTCGTGTTCGCGTGACGCTTTCCGTACTTCAGTACTCATTGTGCTGTCTTCTGTAGCAAGCTGCGCCTCCAACTCTTTGATTCGAGCGCGAAGCTGCTGATTCCTGCCTTGTACTTCTAGTAAGTGGGTCGTCTGCTCCGCCACGCGCTTTTTCTCCCTCTTCAATTCTTGCTCCAAGCGATCAATCACATCATTGCTGTTCCCTTCATTGGATAGAGTTTTGCTTTTCACATCGACGATCCGTTCATCCAGGACCAATCGACCACCCCCTACCGTCCAAGGCTTTTCAGTCCGTAGCGACGGTGCATCATTGACTTGAGACACTGAAGACACTTGCTCTGGTGCTACCTGCCGTCGTTGTTGCCTCAACTCACGACAGATGTCTTCACCAAGTATTCCTTTCTCATCAAGCCCAGCAATCACATCGTTGTTTTCTCTTCCCAAGTCGTTATTTGACCTTGATGAACGAGTTAACGTCAAGTTCCCAGTGCTCCTTGCTGCAAATCCTGCAGCACCCTCCTGCAACTCATCATAAATATCCCCACGTCGAGATTCCCGTCTCTTCGGTGGTATCCGTCCAACAACTCTAGCTGTCTCCTCTTTTCGCGTCGCACTGTTTGCAAAACTCTCTGAAACAATCGAACAGCTGTCAGCATCAGAGAAAAACTCCTCCTTCTTCTTCTTCTCCTCCTCCTCACTTGCAGCAGCACCTTCTTCCTCTTCTGATCCACCTGACACCGACGACCACGACGATTCTGTCGAGCGCCAAATCTCGACTGGCGCTCGTCGTCGTAGTCGCGAACTTGTCCAGAGTCTACTCGGCCTCTCTTGAATCTCCTTCCTGTCCCTGTAGCGATCCCATCTCCCGTCACTTTCATTTCCCTCTCTATCATGATCGTCCGGACCCGTTCGTTTCGAGGACGTTATCCCTTGCGGCAACTTAAGCCGCCTCGAACCTACCAAACAGCCTTCTCGCGCCCGAATCGCGCCTGACGCCAGGAACACAAGCTCCATCGTCCCCGTCTCCCAGTCATCCCTACCCCCACCCGATTGTACGCACGCCTGCTCCATGCTCGACTGCTGGTCGTCCACAGCTGCTCGTTCAAACAGGCGAGTGGGACGTTGCAGCTGCTCGTCGCCAGCGCCTTGGAGCTCCTCGTCCGTGCATCGGTGGGCTTGGGCGTGGGCCCATCGACTGGAAGTCATGAAAACGACGTCCTCCGAGCTCGCAAACACGCGCGTGTCACTCACGCGACTTAACATGGCTTGCACCGCCAGTGTACGATGGAAAGGAGGTACTGGTGTGGCAGACGTAAAACTGGGCGACAACGAGGCGCTGTCGTCGTAGACAGCTAAACTCGGAGGCGAGACTGGTTGGCGATCGGGATTTCGACATAGGTAGACTGCGTATCGATTATACTGCAATTATCGTGTACGTGTACGTATAACACGCTCACATCCATTTATTTGTACGTACTGGCAAGTGAGCATCTTTCAAATCTGGAAAAGCCTCGTAGGATTTGAGGACAGCGTCGTGCACAGCCGACTCCTGCTAGACGCGATTGAACTTTAATGACCTTGATGTGCTAAAAGCCGACAACACCTCAACATCGAAATGAATGGTGACCAGAAACGACATGCTTACTGTCAACACACCATGCACTTGACCACGTACTTGGTTCAGTTGCACAGTCGTGTGGTTCGAGTGACCTCATGGGCTTGCAAATTACGACGTGCCCTTCTCGCTGGTCTACTGCTTGTTGGTTTTCTTCTGGTACTTCCTTTGCTGTGACTTTCACTCGAATCCACTGCAATCCAGTGACAAAGCTGTACAGCTGCTACATGCACGCAGTCAAGCCAAGGCCAATCGAAACGGAACGACCTTGCAGCATGCACCGCCACGACAACACTTGTCTCTGTGTGATTCGCAGTTCGCTGTTGACTGCGATGCTTTTTTTGCAAACGGTAAAGCTGTTCTGTGGTCTTGGTAGAGTGGCCCAATCCTTTGCGGCGGGAACACCTTCTACATGGAATGGACGTGTTGTCAGTATGGAAGTGACCGACCTAATGATGAGTCGACAACGGTTCAATCGCTATCGACTCGAAGATCTCCACCGAATGGCCAGTGCGGCTCCTGTACAATGTATGACACGCGCATAGTCGACCCTAGAACGAGGATCCACTTCTTTTGAGACCACAAGCACATGCGATACATGATGCTCTCCATTTCCGAAGAAACTCGCGCGACTGACAGGTCAAGATGTGAGAAGCACGTTTGGTGGTGGGTGGACGGAACCAATGCCAGCTTTTCACCACGTAAAAATAGTCACAGTGTCTTGACAGATAACGGCGGACGTCATGAAATCATATTGACGCGGATGGGCGAGCGCCTAGCTGAGCAATCAAGCGCGCAGAGGAATGGCTGTGTTCGATAGACTATCGTTGGCAACAGGGCAACTGTTGCAGTGCATGGTTTTGAGAACGACCTAAGAAACGATCTTGCTGTTTGTACAGCACGCACGAGTTAGCAGACTTACGCTTTTTTGTCTCTATAAATGACGTCTCGGCGGTCAAGAAAGCTCTGCTGCAACAGTTCCAGTAGGACTACAAGTTTATTTCCGTTGGCGATCGCATGTCATTCCAGACTACGAACCACACTGCGGTCAGCCAGACGCGCGGTGCTACGCAAAGTAGGTCGAAGAAAGTCGAGGAAACGGTTCGAACGACCTCGTCAATGCCAGCATCATGCGTCTTGCGTCGCTCACCGATTCAATCGTTTTCGCACATACGGGGCAAACTAACTCAGGTAAACGGATGACGTTGGCTTCGCATTCACAGATGTGCATTCCAGTCTGCAAAGTGCCATTTCGTTGTGTGGAACGTGCCCAGTAGTTGTGCACAAAGAATTGACGCGGCCAAGTCCGGGTATGATGAAGGCAGCAAAGTCGGAAGGCTGGAAGTTGTTCAGTTACGTTTACACCCTTACATCGATTAGGCTGCAGTTCAGATCGTTCCCTCCCCGCGACTTCCGCGCATCCGCTTTTTCCCACGACATCAGCACAGACGCCGTGGAAAACGAATCACAGCGACACATGATCATCATCTGGTCGAGAAACGAAGACTTCGGGTGGATCTCGTATGTAGTGCAGATGAGGCTTCGCTTGATACACGAGTCCAGCAGGCTAAATCTGACTTGAACACACCCCGCACACCAGCTGCAACATTCCTCTCGCCAATCACGAAGCCAACCCTCTTTGGGTCAGGTGTGCACGGTTCTACGACGCAGGGACGTCTTTAACCGAATGGAGATATTCCTCTGCCGCTTCCTCGTGTCCGTTCTTCTTCAGCACTTCGACGACTTGATCGTGGTTAAACTCGTGACCCGGAGATCGGTAGTTTCGAACATACGCCATCCAACATCCAATAAGGTAATCGACGATTGCCGACTTTGCCGTCTTTCCAGCAGCTTCCACTCCAGATGTTGTCAATGGAAAGGGCAACATGAGGAAAACATCTTCAGGACTCACATTAAACTTTATCCACACCGAAAACGCCGCTCTGAGCGCGAACGAATCCGTCGACTGCTCAAGTAGTCGCCTTTGTAGATGTTCCGCGCGTTTTTTCATGCGAGGGACGCCCCGGAGCTTATTAAACAGCACCAATACCTCTACAGTTTGTCTGTTGCTCTTCAACACTTGAAGTTCTTCATCGACACTGAATGCCCCGAACCAACGCCGGTACACGTCAACATAGTCGAGCCAGACCTCAAGCTCAAACAAGACGGCAGACCAGTCTGACTTCTCCACAGGGGCACCCGAAAGGGGTTGAAACATTGCGATATCAATCTTGTCAAAGACCGCTGCAGGAGTCGATTTTGATTCAAGCAAAGAATAGAAGTACAGCTGCAATGCCAGACGGTCTGCGAGCTCCTTCATATCAGGGACGCTCTGAAGATGATCGATAATTTTTTTCGCCTCGTCAGAGTTTCTTTTGCTCACCAACGTCTCAACTATTTGCAAGTCGCTAAATTCACCGACAGTGGCCCGGTACTTCGTAACGTAGTCGATCCAGTCCTCGAACTTCGACAATATGACGACCCAACGTGCTTCATCTGTACCTGGGCCCAGATCCGCCGCGCGCCCGATAGGCGTCCAGCTGAAAATGTCTTTAGGATCCTTTTCCATTTCTATCCACTCATCGTACTTCGACTGCCGTCGCGTTGCCTTGATTTTTAGCACCGCTTTTGCCCGGTTCTCCATACCAGGGACGCGTCGAAGCCAAAGAAACATGTTCGTCACATCAGGTGGACGTATCTTGGTCTGCAATGCAGTGATCACGTCATTGTCAGTGAATGGCCCATTTGCATGCATGTTGTACTCATCAACATAATCGATCCAGCTCTCGAGTTTAGACGCAATGGCAAGCCAACCTGACTTCTCGATACGTCCGTCCTTAGCGTTTAGTATCGCTGAGAACTCGTTGAGGCTGTGAAGGTGCGCAGGATTCACCCCTTTCCGCAAGTCCTCACATATCAGCGCTTGAAATTTCAGTTCGTCCTTTCCAAAGTTCCTGTCAAGCAGATCGAGCATCGTCACCATCCAAGGCATTTCTCGACCCTCCATCAACAGTTTAACTACTCGAAAGTCGCTGAAGTGACCCAAGGACCGGTATTTGTTAACATACGTGAGCCAGTCATTGACGTGAGACGCGATGACGAGATTCGAAACGTCATCCTGAAAGTCATGTTCTGACAAAATGGTCGAGACGGGCATCATGACGAAAGCGTCTTCGGGAATCAACTTTAACTGCAGCCACACATCTAACACCTCTGGCAGAGCCTCCGGGTGTTCTCCGAGTAGCTCTCTTTGCATCGCCTCCACACGCTCTTTAAGCTCAGGATACTCTCGAAGCTGAAAAAAAAGTTTCGCCAGCTCATCTTTTTTTCCCCGTTGCAAGAAACGCTGCACCTCGACATCATTGCGATAGGAGTATCCAGGCTCTACGAGCTTCCTCTTCCACAACTGCAACCGCTGATGATCGTCATGCATCTCCCTCTGCAGCTGATTGCCAATCACCTCCTCCTTCTGATGAGCGGCACTCACCCTCCCCTCATAACCAGCGGCAATCTTAGCCGCCATCGCCCGGGCGGCAATCATCTCAGCCTCCTCGTCGATCTTCTCGACAACTGCGGCGAGCTGTTTTGGTGGATTCGCAAACGCTCTCTCCACACTGACAATCAGCTTCGCAGTGGATAGAAAGGGATCCCCATTCCTCGCCTCTTGACCCTGAAGTTCGCCGTACGTGTTCCCCACAACTGGCGCATGCAGCTGCGACCCTGTCGACTCGATAAACACGGACAAATTGAGGGGTGAAGGACTATAGGACAAGTTTTGAGCGCCAAAATCGATCGGATCACCATTCGCGGGTGCAGGTCCAGCGCTTGTCCAATGGAGGATGACGAGGGACGTCACAAAGGGAGAGAGTGGACGCATGGCGGAGGTCTTTGGACTACTGGGCGAATTCAGGAATGAGAGACGGATGTTGCGGGTCGTTTTGGCTGCATGGTGTGGACAAGGCAGAGTGCTCCCTCTGGTATTTTATGGATTCGGTAGATGGAGCTTGAATAACTTTGAGGAGGCAAACTCTTATCGGGTTATTGCTGTGCGATACATTAGTCGTCTGAGCATTCGATCGATGCAAAGCGGGCCGTACCAAATTAAGGAACATCATCGCACTTACCAAGACAGAACACCCACAATACGAGGAAGAACCGACTCCCGGGTACTCGTCATCTGAGTGCGGACTGTTTTTTTCAAGTGCCGGCTCCTGAGTAAGTTATTAGCCGCCCCGCGAGGGTGAAAGCCACGTCCTCTGCTACATTCCACGTAGGTGGATTTTTGAGGAAGCTGGAGTTTTGCACTGGCTTGACAATGTCTCTTTATCGATACCGGGAGCATTGGTATCTCCGTAACATACGGCCTGCTTGCCGATTTCACCATAAACATGTGTTGAGATCTAGCCGATCTCGGCCATTGTTCTTGGTGAATGCCTGCATCAGCTTAGCAGTTATGCGGTGCTGCTGCCGCTACTATATGCAAAACGCGACCGATTTGACGGGCACGGGGAGTTCGACAACATAAAAAAACGAAGGTCTACCGTCTTATCGCACGCGCGCGGCAGTCTGCCTGGAACGATATCGCATCCATCACGCTTACCAATTGGCTCAACAACAAGGGAATGCTTGCTAAATCTCTAGTCTTTTCAGCTGCTGTGTGTAACGGGGCACCCTGAAGCTTGTACTGGTGACAGTACAAGCTACTTATTCTGATAACAGAATAAGGCGGTGCCTCGTAACTTCACGTACACTCGTACGTGCAGAGGAAGACGGTAAGAAGAAGCGAGTACTTGGTTAGAGTAAAAAGTAGAACTGTATTTATAATAGTTAATGTCTGCAATAAATCACTATTTATCTTCATCTAACTATGTCTAAATACAAATGTGTAAATCAGTTATCTGCTCACCACTCATTGCGTGCGTCTGTCGTGGCGCGTCTTCGTTGGTTGATATAATGGCCTATATCAACCAATTAGGAACTACTTGGAAGTGCTACAGAATATTGTCCTTATGACAATATTCTGAGAATATAACTCTTATAGTTATATTCTATTAACAATTTCTTATAAATTGTTATGTAACGATTCACCCCGTTACATCACCCCCCTTAACCATCAGTCACTTTAGTGACTGATTGACTAAATGGATACTCGTCCCAAATCATTTGGGACGGGGTTTGCACTTGTTGGTCCGCGTCCACTTTCCAACATCTCATCGCATGGTAAACAAGCCCATGCGATGCGCGAGCAAGGCCGCCGAGAGCGCGTCTACACGTCTCTGTGCGGACGCCGAAGCAGAAACTACAGCAACTGATGTCCCATCGGTTGCTGAATCGACTCAGCCTGTATCACCTGGTGATGCAGGCGCTGGTCATGAAGACACTCGTGTCTTCACAGAGTACGAGCTCGGTGTCTCGTACTCTCCTGATACGGATGACGGATCCGTATCGACGGCAATTGAATCCAAGCCGCCTGCCAAGCGTGGCATGGACGATGCTTTGCGTCGCAGCATCTTTGGTTCATCTGATGAGTCAGATGAACCATCGCCGAAGCGAAGGCGCTCGAGGTCGCGAGACTCGGGCGCTAATAGTGGTGTCGTTTCTCCAATGGACACCACTTCACAGCGAGGTGCCAGTACTTCTGTCGGCACGTCGCAGGAAGAGCGGGACCGCAATGTGTTGCGTCTCGCTCCAGAAAAGAAGGCATGGATGCCTCCTAAATCTGTCATGGATCACTTGTCGGCGACGACGAGTGATCGTTATCGAACACGATTGTTCGATTCGTCGAGGATTCATCACCTTGACCCCAGCGCGAAAGACTATCGCGCTGAACATGAGTTCTTCATCGATGCTTTCTTCAGACATCGATGGTACAGTGGGAATCACAAACGTGATGGTCCCTCACTACTTCAGGCGTGGAACGCCTACATCCATAATCTCGAGGATGTAGGTCGTGACGCTTGGAACGACAAACTTATCAAAGCTCGTGATAAGTTTGAAAAGCGAACCCCGACAGGTGCACGCTATAAGCTGCATCGTCTGTCAAGGGAGAAAGGATTACCCTGCCTCTCTTGGGGAGACTCGTGCCCATGTTGTGTGAACAACTCTGCACGAGCACCTAAGGAGGCTTACCTCCTTACCAGCCCGTGGTGGCGCGTACGTGTCTCTACTGAGATGTACGAAGGGATTGACAACCTGAAATCCCTTTACGACCGTGCCGGGAAGACTTTCTCCGGCGGTCCTTCTGCGGCACAGGATGTGTCGCGTCGTACTGCTCGACCAGACCCAGTACGTCAACCATCAATTGGGAGCGGGGCTCCCAAGAATCCCAGGACGGGGGATAGCCGCGCCACCGGACGAGGTAACTCGTCCGACGTCCGTTCACGTCGCGGTGGTTCAACAGCTGCTCTACTAGATAGCGCTGGCCACCGCGAGAGTCCTCTAATGGAGGTGGAGGAGGAGGAAAGACGCTCTCCACACGATCATGTGGATCGGTGTGTTCCCGAGAGCTTCTTTGATCGCGTAACGCAAGGGTTACGCGACGATCTCGAGCATGAGCGGAATAGGCGTCTCCAGATGGTGGACACTGCCTCGAAGCATCGAGCTGAGTTTGCCTTTGCTCAGCTTGAGAACGAGAGATCTCTGACATCTCTTCGTGACGAGCTAAGGGTAGCTCGTGGGATTGTTGATCGGTCTCGGGCTGAGATAACTGCTCTTCAGACCCTTGTTGATGCCCACCATCGGGAGCACAAGGCTCTCTGCGAGATGCTTGAGCGCAAGGGCGTTCTTCATCGGAAGAAGCAGCGTACTGATGGTACGGCTTAAGCCGACCAACGTAAAACGTGGGATGCGTTCGCATCTTACGTGGTAACTCGATCGTGTATGCATTGCCTAGGCGGTGCAATACACGAAATGGGCCAATGTACTTGGGTAGTAGTTTACTGCTACCCAAGTTAGTCACTACATGTTTTGGTAGATTAACCGTAGACAGTAGGACTAAGTCACCTTTATTAAATAAAAGAGTGTTTGCCCTTCCATTCTTGTCAGCGTTTTGCTTTTGCTTATCCACCGCTTCGGCGATGGAGTCTTGCACAAAACGGACTACCGTTTCACGAGCCAGTATGAACTCATCTGATGACTCGTTAGCTTCAGTGTGCTGTGAGCGCACTGCAGCGACAACAACCTTTTCTTCAGTGAGGGCTTCCGCACTCTCACTGGGATCATTGTCTTCAGTGAGGGCTTCCGCACTCTCACTGGCATCATCTTCTTCGATATCGATGTTATCGATATCGGCATCAAACGCAATGACTTCTTCGTCAGAGCGTGATGAGCGTGAACCAAATCGGTTTTTGCTCGCGCGAGTCCCTCCCCCCCTTGAACCAGAGTTACACTCTAGTAAGGTGGGTACACGCGGATGGCGCAAGCCATTCACGTAAAACGGTGTATGTGTCGTGGACACATGCACCGAGTTGTTAATGGCAAATATTACCATGGGCAAGAACTCACTCCAACTCTTACAGGAGTGTACGTATCCTCGAAGTATCTCTTCAAGGACACGATTGGCACGTTCCGTCTGACCATCTGACTCTGGATGATCAGATGTTGACATCTTCAAGCGCGTTCCGAGTGATTTGAACACGGAACGCCAGAAATCAGCAGTGAATCGTGGATCTCTGTCTGATACGAGTTCACGGGGCAACCCATGAAGTCGGAAGATGGTGTCAATAAAGACACAAGCACAGCCACTTGCCGTGATTGTCTCTGGTACAGCCACAAGGTGTACCATTTTGCTGAATCTGTCAACAAATACGAGAATACCCGTATTCCCGCGTGCGTCTTTGGGTAACCCGAAGACGAAATCCATTGAGATGGATTCCCAGCACTCAGCCGGAACCAGTAGAGGCTGTAAAGGTGCACGCAGTGAAGGACTTGACTTCACTCGTTGGCAGACTTCGCATGCGCGAACATACTTTCGCACAAACTGATACTGGCGGGGCCAGTAAAAGTCTCGACTTACCGTGAGATATGTTTTCTCTCGGCCACGATGTCCTCCTATAGGAGCATCGTGATACTCGAACATGATCCGCAAACGCAGATCAGTATCATCTGGAATGACAACACGTGGTGTGTCACCAGAAACGGCTGTATAGTACAGTAAACCGTTACGAGTAGTGTATCGATCTGATGCAGATCGATACGCAGACGACAATCGTTTCAACGATTCTCGAGATGGTTGGGAGAGATGTGACAACAACTTCACTATCTCACCATCTTGGGCGTATGCCCGCCTCACATCATCATACAACGTTGTAGATGGAACTGAGGACGTCATAACCGCAACAGTGACTGTCTCACTGTTGGGTTTCGCGACTGTTTCAAAGTCGGGACGACGTGAGAGTGCATCAGCGACGACATTAAGTCGTCCTGGTTTGTACTCGACCGTAAAGTTGTATTCTGCAAAGAATGACAACCACCGCGCCATTCGTTGTGAAAGGTGCGGGCTGTTCACTGCCGTGCGTAAGGACGCATGGTCAGTGTAAACAACGAAGGGTCTATCTCCTAATATATAGACTCTGAACTTCGCGAGTGCATACTTCATGGCAAGGAGTTCCTTGTCATGCACTGGATAGTTCCGCTCAGCTGGTTGCAGCTGACGCGACTGATAGCAGACGACGCGTTCAACGCCTTCAAGATCGTACCGCATTAATGCACAGCCGATTGCGAAATCGCTGGCATCACAGACCACATGAAATGGCCTGTCCTGATTGGCTATTGCTAGTACTGGGGATTGTATCAAGCTCTGCTTGATACCCTCAAAGGAGCGTTGACATTCAGCGTTCCATAACCACCTCTTGTTCTTTTTCAACAAACGAGAGAGAT